CAGCAGGTACATTAACCTGGATTCGAACCCAGCTCAGAAATGTTCTATCTGTGTGACACCTTGGTCAAGTGACTTAACCTTGTGGAGCGTCAGCTTCCTGTCTGTAACAAGAGATGATAATGACTGCTCACAGAGGTGCGATGAGCATTCAGTAACAGTCAAACAGCCTGGCGAGGGGCCTGGCGGGCGCAAGTCCAGCAAGCGCCTCAATGTCCTCTCCAGCTTTCCTTCCAGCCTCACGCTCAGGACTCGCCTACGCTCAGGACTCGCCTTTAAGCCGCACAGCAGGCACTGAAGAACCGTCCGACGAGGAACGAGGGACGAGGGACGAGGGAGTGGCAGACTCACTGGCCCATCTCTCCCGAAGCGAGAGGCTGTTTATTCCGCAGCTGCAAGCCGCAGGGAGCTCACCAAATGAGGAGCAGCAGCACTAACTTTCCCCAGCTGGCACAACAATTAAAGGCCTCAGGCCCTGGAGCTGGCTCCCGGCAGACACCCAGCGGCTGGGAGCAGGCTGAGGGCTGCAGGCACTCCCCACGGCCTCCGGAAGGGAGGGAGGCACACTGGCCCCCGCCCTCGTTGCCCCCTTGATTTCCAGCGGACTCACAGCGCTCTCCTGGGAGAGGCAGCAAGTCCTCTTGCTGGGGCCAATTCCCCGGGGAGTGTCCCAGGTGCTGCCGGAGTCCCGCCTGACTGGCCTTCTGAGTGCTTACAGGTGAAAGGCACTCAAGCAGACACGTGACCCAGGCCCACATGAGTTGCTCAGGCAGCACCCCCGGCCCCTTCAGCCTGAGCTCCTCTGCGTGATCTATTGGCTCTTCAGTAAAATGCGGTTGGAAGAAAGGGTCTGGTCCTCCTGTGGTTTCTAAATAAAACCGAGGACCACTGACCTAATGCAACCCCCTCCTTATTCACAAGGGGAGCTGAGGCGCAGAGGAAGCAGGTGACCGGCCAAGGTCACACGATCCCGGACAGCGAGCACTGCGGACTGCCCTCCTGGTCCTGTGCTGCTTTTGCTGGCACTGCAACCCCAGCGGGCACAAAGGCTCCTGCTGTGAAGAACTGAAGGTGGCGCGGAGGAAACCCGCCTGCCCCCCTTCCCCTCCCTCCCTCCTCCCTCACCAGGCTTTGGATGCCTCCACTAACCAGGCACACTTCTTTCTGGGCTGCAGGCGCCCAGCTGGTAGGACACGCTGTCTCCCAGGGTTCTTCCACTTTCCCGCCCCCTCTCGCCTGGTCCTGTTTTCTTCCTCCTTCACTTACTTTTGTCTTCACCGAGCGCTTTAAGCCTAATGTCCACCTATGAGCTCCTCCTGGGCTCGTGGTAAGGTCTAACGTGGATCGTCAAGAGAAATTCCAGCAAAGGTGGATTGTATAAAAAAGATAAAGTTAAATGATGGCAAACAAAATTCGTGTTTCTAAAACAGTGATCTAAACTAGATTTAGTGTACTTACACAAACTGCTTGAAAATGTTTTGCAAGCACACCAAGATACTTGGCAACGTGGAACACGTTTAGTACGACTGGTCTGACCTTCAAAACATGGATCTTGCCTTGTTGTCTTGTACCATGTTCCCCGGGCACCTTCAGCCCCACTCAGCCAGGCCTATCCCGCCTCTGTTCCCTGGGTGTCGGTCTTGTCTCGAAGGTCAGACTACGCTCCTCGCTTCTGATGATGCAACCTGGATCTCACTTCGGGGTGTAGCTCACTTCCTTCTTCCCTGAACACTTTGTGCCTCGTGTCTCATGTCCCCAGTCAGCACTTCAGAAACAATTATGTGTGGGGAGCCTTGCACTCCTCTTAGGTGTGTGCCTGTGTGTATTGTCTTTCCCTAATTAGCCTGGAAATGATTCACGCCCGGCAGCAGTGGTTTCCACGAATGACCAGTCTGCAGGCCTGTGCCAGCGGAGGAACTTGTTGAAATGCAGATTCTTAGACTGCATGGGAGACGCTGAGCACATTAATCTGGGCGTACACAGGCACAGCACATTTGGTGTGGTGTGACAATGATGGGCGGGACTCAGGTCAGCACATTTAACAGGCTCTTACCCGGGTCTGAGAACGCTATCTGCCAGGCTGGGAACGGCTGTCCCGAGAACTGATCACAGAGTTCTTACACAGTAGGTGCTCACGTGTTGTTTAATTGTATGCCTCTGGGCTCGTAATGAACTCCATCATAACATTATTGCTTTACAAGCACTACACCTATGCTGTATTTCCTTAGGAAGGGAAAGACTTTTCATTTGAGAACAGAGGCCAAGCTCTTTGCCTATTTATATGCATGATCGATTCCCTTTAATAACCTTTGGAAATAAAATGGTATTCTCATCAGGCACGAGAACTCTGAGGGTCTAAGAAACTTGTTTTAGTTCACAGCTGTTGTCACAACAGAGCTAGAATCTGATCTCTGACTTAATGGCTCAGAGTTCGTGACCTCGCTGTTTACCGGAGAACTGGTGGCTTGTACCTGGTTTGTGAAAGTTTCCATTTGGGCAGCACAAGTTCCGAAATTTAAAAATATTAATTACCAACATTTCTAGCTTGGATATTTTATATTAATATCTGGATCTCTGGCTTCTTGCTAAAGAAAAAAAGAATCAGTTAACACTGGGGCCTACATTCCTGCAGGGCACCAGTCACTCGGAGCCTTTGCAGGGTTATGCGCTTACAGCTCCCATACGCCCCACTGCTCCCCATCTTACCCGCCCGCTCCCTCACACTCTGTTCCCTACCGGGTCCCAAAGGGCCTGGACATTTATCTACTATCTTGCTTCCCATTATTCAGGAACTAACGTCAGCCCTTTTTTTTTTTTTTTTGTTGCTCCATCTTGCATGAGTCTCTCTGATCAAAAATGTGTGATTTCAACGCTTAGGAACCTCCCTGCACCTGCTTCCCAAGCCACATTCTGGCTTCGAAAACGGAAGAACTCTGGGAGACAGCGTGCCCTACCAGTAAAATTTTATGTTCCGTCTTTAGAACAGCTGGGGGAAATGCAGCAAACCATCTATTTGCCCTATTCAGTGGTGACTGCACGTCAGAAAGCCACAGTGAGCGATGCCACCAAGTGGTGGAGTGCCTCCATGCGGAATCACCACCTCTAACCAAAGACCTATCTCAACATGCAGGACCACTGGAAACCAAACACTTGCCTGCTTCCATTAGTGGATCCTTCCAAGGCTGCTGCTGCTTTAAAAGTTAGGGACATGGACTGGCACTGCAGAAGCCGTGCTTCAACTTTTAGGACTTCCTAGATCCATTTGGCTTGTTCTCCTTAAATAAGCTGCCACTGCTACTGATTCAACACATTTTATTACTTTATCTTTTAAAAAGGTTTATCTATTTGCAAGGCACAGTGATGAGGGGTAGGGGAAGAGAGATTGATCTTCTATACATTGGTTCACTCCCCAAATGATGGCAATAGCCATGTCTGGGCCAGACTGAGGTCAGGAAACAAGAATTCCATCTGGGTCTCCTGCATGGGGTGGCAGGGGCCCAAGTATTTGGGGGCATCTTCTGCTGCCTTCCTAGGTACACAGCAGCTGGGACTTGAACTAGCACTCTGATATAGGATCCTGGCACTGCAAGCAGCAACTTAACCTCTGTACCAAATGCACACCCAACACATTTCAAAATCCGAAAAAATTTATTTATTTATTTCTAATTACTTGAGAGGCAGAGAAAGCGAGAGCGAGAGTCACATTGAGAAATGTTCCCAGTTGCCCATGATAGGCCTAGGCCGGGCTGAAGCTCAGAGCCCAGAATTCAATCCAAGTGGTGGCAGGAACCCACTCACTTGAGCTATCTCCTGTGGCCCCTGAGGATCTGCATTTGTCAGGAAACCGTGGTGTTAGGAGCGGGAGCTGAGCATTAACCCCAGGTGCTGCAAGGTGGGACGTGGGACGCCTTCACTGGTGGCTTAACTGCTAGGCTGAACACTCCCTCCTCCATGAACTTTCTGAAGTGCCATTGCATTCCAGTTTTTGGAGAACGAGCAGATAGCTATTAAACTCTTTCAGTCTCAATACACACAGTGAGGGGCCAACAAAAAGCACTCCGCACCAGAGGATGGAATCTGAAGAAGGAAGAGTTTTATACTCACTGAGCACTCACCAAGCAACTGTGCCAGACATTTATAGACTTCAATTATTTGTCCTAAGCCTGAGTATGACACATGCTAATTTTAGGGGCAGGTATTTGTTGCAGTGGTTAAGATGCTGCTTGGGACATCCGCATCCCCGTATCAAAATGCCTGGTTTGAGCACCAGTTCCTCAACTTCTGTACCCAGCTTCCTGTGAATACACAACACACCTTGAAAGGCTGTGGATGATGGTGCAAGTCCTTGGGTCCTTGCTATCCATGTTGGAGACCTGGTATAGTTCTAGGCCCTCAGCTTTGCCCTGACAACCCTGGCTAATGCAGGTATTTGGGGAGTGAACTAGCAGATGGAAGATCTCTCTGTCTCTGTCTAATAAAATGAAAAAAAAATTTTAAGTATTGTAATTTTATAGGTAACAAATATAGGTTCGCAGATCTCATGGAAGGGTGAGGGACCCTGACAATGGGAATCAGCTTCAGGTTTTATACCAGAGACATACCTAGTTTTCCAGTGCTCCTAGAAACCTCAAGTCAGCTCAAGGCATTTTATAAATGAGATGTTTTCCTCTTCTTCACTTTATCTCATAATCTGTATGACAACAACTATAAGACCTCCCCTACTAATTCCCAGTTAACTACTAACTCTCCCCCCATTCCCCAACCCTTATAAGGCCTTTCTGATAATTTCTGAATGTGAGCTACATTTAAGTTGAATTCATCTGGTCAGTGCAGATACCTTATTTTGCCTTCAGCACAATTTCCATCCCCTCAGAGATGAGAGTATCCACTCTACAGAATCAGACGTGCATTATTCAAGTAGGGGAATTAAAAACAGGATTGCAGAGAGAAAGCTAAAGAATTTGACTTTTTGTCTTTACTTGTATGAGGAAAAACAGCACAGAGAGGCATCCACAGTATTTAATTTGTTTGGATAATAGTTACAGATAAACAGGTACACTCCATATACAATTACCAATACATTTTTATACAGTTCATATTTCAGTACATCAACACTATTTTATTTACACTCTATGTATGTACATTAACATCTTTCTAAAGTCAGTGCACTGTCAACAAGTTTTATACAGTAATTTACAAGGTGACTGTAGTTAATAGTTAATTTAATAAACTTTATGCTAGTTCATGAATTAAAAAATTAATTACAACCAATATAACAAACAGATCAAACAACATTAGTAGATTGTGCTACCTGCTTAAATAAAACATCTGTAAGTAAATTATTAAAATCTTTTTCACTTTTTCATGGGACTTGTTCAAGTAGGAATGGACAGATTTTATATACTGAAAAGTCCTCAAACTGTAAAGTATGCATTTTGTCTGACTTCATTATTACACCATTTAGGCCATACCTTCCTACTTGCAACTATATTCTTCTTCTGAAGAGTTTCAATTTGGGCAGCAATTTTTCAGACACCTTTTCCAAACGCTCTGAGAAGAGATATTTACTGGCCTCATATATCAGAACACAAACACTTAACCACATCAGAACTTACTACCTACGAGGAAGGAAGAGTAATGTAATCTGACAATTAATGAGAGTCAACTTCCAGGGTCTAAAAGAATACACAAGAGACTGAGGGAAGAAAAGGCTAAACATTTCCTTTGAATACATACTAAAATACAACACAGGAAAAAAAATGCTGCTCAAAATAAACATTTATACTTTTGTTCCAGTCTTGAATAATTGGAGGAAAAAATGAAGTAAGCAAAGAAACATAACTCTTGATGACTAGTGTAAATTTTAAAAAAAGCCAAATATAAAACAGAAAAAAAAAAAAAACGGACATGCAAACAAAACTAGAGGTTACTTCCTAAAACCCTCGATTTCATTTAAAAATACTTTTGCACTATTCAGATCCAGGTTTGGGACGTGTTGTGTTTTTGAATTTACTATGATGGGGAAAGTACCCCGGTGAAGTTAATTTATAGCCCTTAGAGCCATCAAATACGGACCAGTCCATTTGTACATATTCTCTTTCTTGTTAAAGTGCAACACAAAGAAACAAAGGAAAAAAAAAACCCACTAGTTGTGAAACACTAGCTAGCTTTAATGCTGCTCACCTTCCCAGAAGCTCTCTGTGCAACGTGCGCAAGTGAGGATGGTGCAAACCCTGGCAGCCACCCTGGCAGCCACCCTGGCACACTCAGCAGTGGGGGGAGGGCATCCATTTTTTGAGGACGCTTTGTCTTTCTACTGGGTCTCCCAACCAAGGCCCTGGGTAGAAGGCACATAGTTCTTAGGACATTCTTCAGACTGACCACTATATGCCTCTGCCACCAATGACTGGTTGTGTTTCCAACACAAAAACAAAAAAGCAAGCAAGAAATAGTAGGGAAATGATCTAAAAAATAAATCAAACACTCTGCATCCATGCCATAAGAATCATTTGCACACCTTCATGATCTTGCTTTCTCCCTCTTATCAATACAATGGAATAAAACTTCAGGAAAAAGGAGGTAGCATATCATGTCGTCCCCAGACAACACTACAATTTTTTGTTTTTTACTTTGACTCCAAGGAAATCTTTAGTATTTTGTTATGATTATTAGTAAACTCTATAGTCACTACATGTTTGTTCACATCTTGACAAGCACAATTTAATTCTTATTTGGTCCCAGGTGGCTGGTGCCAAACCCTTGTGTTTACAGGCTAATGGTGGGCTCTGCCTGAAAGTTCTCTAGTGGAGAGCTTGTATAAGACTTCAAAACAAAATTATTACTACTCTTAAAAGGTAACTGCTATTTTAATTAGGATTTTTATTTTGTGCTTCAGGGTCACAGGATAAAATAACTCTATTTAGCTTGCCTTTCAGCGATGCTTTTGCCAAATGTCAGCTACAGAAGTCGCCTCCCTCACCACCAGCCTGTCTAGCAGCCAGAGTGGTGGCTCTACTGTAACACACAATACTTTTTGTAATCAGACTCAAAGTCTTCATCCATGCTGCTTGTGTCTGCCATCTTTTTGCCATCGATCTTGGGCAGGAATTGTGCACAGTCTAGCCCCTGCTGCTCATAGAAAAGAATGTAGGCAGAATCGGTGTCAATTTCATCAGGGTGAAGTTCCTGAAGGGGCAAGAAAAGCCTTTAACAGAACAGCCATTGCTCTGCCGGTTCTTCCTCCTCGCCTGGGAGAGAAGACCAGCCCAATTCCCTCTCATAATTAAATGTGATTTCTTCCCATCAACTTAATATTTTTGCTGTCTCACAGTTGTCCCTAAAATAAATCTCATTATTTTCAATGTTTGTTTTGGGGAAAATATTTTAATGACAGACAAGTCAAAAGAATGACCTAAAACCACATGAAATTCTACTAGTTCAAAAGATAAGAACATCTTCTCATTAACTGACAGCTTATTTTCCTTGCTATTTGTGCTTTTATTCCTTATTCTCCTTACCAGTGCCAGCATCTATATACTGGTCCTAACAGAAAATCTATTTCTTATTCAGGACAAAGTCCGTTATTTCTACAAATGCCCCCAGATCTGATGACATTTTGTTTCCAACTTTCATGCAAACATTGAGATCATTTACCTTACAGCTGCTGTCATTGTAACAGTACCACTTGCAGTTTGGGTTTTTGGCGTAAGTGACGTAATGGCCCCCACCCAGAATTCCTGAATGGCACTGCAAAGACAGAAGAGAGGGGAGGGCTGTGAGCAGTTGACAGAGCCGTGGCCATGGCACGGCCATTGAGTCTAAGCATATTATATAGACTACTGGGGCCAGCGCTGTGGTGTAGCAGGTAAGGCCGCCGCCGGCAGTGCTGACATCCCATATGGGCAACGGTTCTTGTCCTGGCTGTTCCACTTCCAATCCAGCTTTCTGCTATGGCCTGGAAAATCAGTGGAAGATGGCCCAAGTCCTTGGGCTCCTGCACCTGAGTGGGAGACCCAGAAGAAGCTCCTCGTTCCTGGTTTCAGATTGGCGCAGCTCCAGCTGTTGTGACCAACTGGGGAGTGAACCAGCAGATGGAAGACCTCTCTCTGCCTCTCATTCTTTCTCTGTGTAACTCTGACTTTCAAATAAATAATAAATCTTTAAAAAAAAAGTATACTTGAGCCCATTAAAAAAAAGAATACAGACTACTTAGGTGGTTAAGAAAAACATGTTCTGGAACCATCTAATTTCTTTCCTAAAACAAAATAAACAAAAAGCAAAATTCAGCCAGGTGCTGCGGCTCACTTGGCTAACCCTCTGCCTGTGGCACCGGCACCCCAGGTTCTAGTCCTGGTTGGGGCGCCGGATTCTGTCCCGGTTGTTCCTCTTCCAGTCCAGCTCTCTGCTGTGGCCCGGGAAGGCAGTGGAGGATGGCCCAAGTGCTTGGGCCCTGCACCCGCATGGGAGACCAGGAGAAACACTTGGCTCCTGGCTTCGGATCGGAGCAGCACGCCGGCCGTAGCGGCCATTTGGGGAGTGAACCGACAGAAGGAAGACCTTTCTCTCTGTCTCTATCACTGTTTAACTCTGCCTGTCCAAAAAAAAAAGCAAAATTCAAAAATCCGAAGTTCCAAATCTTGTGTGGATAGAGAATCATTATGTAGCTATAGTTAGTTTTGAGTAAGCAACAATTCCCTTGGAACACACAGTTAGGAATGACTTGAATCACACAACTATCGCCTGCACCACTCTGTGAGCTCCTGGGATTCTACCTAGAAGGGCAAAATTTCTGGAGTAACTTTCTCTACCATCAAGCTCAGTGTCTTATAAACAAGCAGGCCCTGAAAAACATCTGTTGGTGAATGAATGAAAACAAGTGACCAAGCCAGTGAAAAGTAAAGACCACTCTGAAAACCATACAACGAATCACTTACCGAGATTGCATACAGATTATAAATGGGCTTAATGCGGGGATCTTCTCTTTGGTCATCAAGGCTGTCTTCTTCCCTGTGATTTCCAAACTGCCCATTGCTATAGCCATTGCCGCACGCCTCATGCTCATAAAGGAATCCATTGGCCAAGGCTACCTCATGGTCCTGAGGGGTGACGAGCTCAGGCTGGCTGCCTCCCAGCATGTGCATTCTGCTCAAGGCATCAGCCAGTTCACAGATCTGCCCAGACCCATTTTCTCTGCTGGCATCCAAGTTCTCTTTACTACTTGATAGTTTATTTTTGCTGCCAATCTGGGGTAGGCGGAGCCTCCCTTTGCTCCTCCCCAAAGTCCGTGGGCTACTGTTAGGGCTACTGTTTTTGCTAGAAGGACAGCTGGTTCCACTCTTTCTTGATGAAGAAGGGGAACCTGTGAAAGGGAGAGCAGGTTCAAAAATCCAAATTCAGCAAGTCAAGCCAGCCACCAAATGCTAACCGTGAGGCAAAAAGTTCACTAATAAACACATGAAGGTGAAGACAGGGGAGTCCTGACTGGCCACTCTGTACTTCTTACTATGTAGCTAAAAAGTGACATTCCTGTTTCTGCAGTGCCAATCCCTGTGGACAGCAATGTTCTGAAATGTAAATATACTAGAGAGTCTTACAAAACAGGGAAAGGCGAGTTATGTCAGATTCAGTTCTAAACAATGTAATTTTTAGACTAAGGACTTGTACATATTCCTCTCCTTTGTCAAATTAAGATGACAAAAGATGACTAGCTTTTATGAAGTGCTGCTGCTCAGCATGGTACTTGGATCTCTCTCTCTCTCACTTCCACCCTCACAGAAATTCTGTAAGGCAGTGGCTTTGCAACGTTTTGGTCACAGCCCTTGTGATCCCTTTTGTCACCTTTAAAACATTATCAAGGACCCCTAGGGCTTTGAAAAAGCATATATTATCTAAGTATTTTTTCTAAAGATAGTGTTGATCCTTCAGACCCTCTGAGAGGGTCTCAGGGCCCCCTAGGGACGCCCAGCAGATTACATTTTTGAGAAGCTCTGCTGTAAGGAAACACGGATGCCAGCACGGTTCACGCCAACCATGGCTCAAGCATCATGTGAACGTGTCCGACTCCACACAGCAAATCCTCATGCTCTGTGAGCTGGGTATGTTCTCTCCTCCGCAGATGAGAACACAGAAACAGAGAAGCTGCGTCTCTTCCTTTCTGAGTCACGTAGCTCAGACAGATTCCAGAGAGATTCTTTCCACCCCACCAAGCCGCTGGCGGCTCCACAGCAGAAGACGGGGAAACAGGCAGCCTCCGGACATCCCGAGAAGCTGCGCGGGCAGGATCTCACCTTTTGGGCTACCGAGCACGCCGGCGCTGAGGGAGGACGGGCTCTTGCTGAGCAGCACCTCCTCTTCCCCAGCGGAGCTCTGGGCATCCACCCTCTTCACCTCTCCTGCCGGGACCCTGGCCTCGCAGAGCTCATCCCCCTGGGGTGTGAGCAGCTTACGCTGGCACAGAGCAGGGTCTCTTGGTACCAGAAAAGCGCTAGGGTCAAAACTCTCACGAGGAAATTTAACAATTTTCTGTGATTTTATCCATCGACCATTTACAAACTGGAATCGTTTAAGGTGGATAATCTGGAGGAGAGAATGTAGAAAACATCTGCATCAAAGGGTTCTAATGACACAAACTTTACATCTAAGAAACAGGACTAACATGCATGAGTGTTCAACAACATAGCATATCACTGACTCCTCACTCTTCAAAGACTTCAAAAACATGGTTTCCACAAAAGCATTTACTTCATAATTTGAAAATAATATACATTTTCACAAACCATTTTATATATATATACATATAATTTTTTTCCACTTAATTTGTAAGGCAGAGAGACAGAGATGAACAGAAAGATGGAGAGAGATCTTCCATCTGCCGGTTCACTCCCCAAAATGTCTGCAACAGCCAGGTCAAAGCTAGGAGCCCAGAACTCCAACTAAGTCTCCCATGTCAGTAATAGGGACCCAAATACTTGAGCCATCATCTGGCAGAAAGCTGGATCGGAAGTAGAGTAGCTGGGACTTTAAACCAGGCACTGTGTATGGGATGTGGGCGTCTCAAACAGCATCTTAACCACTTACTACACGTCACGCTCACGACATGCTTTATGTGATGGTTGCAGGAATACATACAAGTGTCAAACATCATCAAAATGTATATTTAAAATCTACCATTGAGTTGCATGTTTATTATACTTTGACTAAATAAAAAGTCTCCCTCCTTCATACCCTCCTTGTCCCCAAGCCTGTCCCTGCCCTCTTCTTCCCTTCCCCCAGTCCCCACCCCTGGAACTAGCTAACCAATGTTATTAACCTCCTGGGTATTCTTCCCTGGGAAGCTGCTCTGGCCTAAGGAAAGAAAAACCTGCTAGTACGGAGTAAGCAGGAGGATGAAGACATGAGGAAGGACATACACAGTGTCTGATTACAATCACGTTTGAAGGAGCTCCCACCTCTCAGGAAAAAGCTATTTTAGAAGACTCCTGACAAGCAACAGGAGACTCTCCTAATCTATGAAGGGACAACGTAGGAGTAAAGCAAGCCTAAAAGACGACCAAGCCCCAGTGCACTGGTGCGCCTGTATGCACAAGTGGCTCAGCAGCGTGCCGAGGTCACGGGCGCTGGCGAGAGGCCATGGGCAGCTCCTGGCTCTCATGCTTCTCCGCAGTCTACTAAGAGCTCGCCTAACGCGTCCTTGGCCCAGAGAACCAGCAGCGTTCTCAGCCTCCTCCGAAGTTCAAATTCTCCTCTGTGGCACTTTTCACATGGTGCTGAACTGCAGTTACAGTCTGTGGGATTCCCCTTTCCTTTTAGGCTGCAAGCTCTTTGGGAATGGGAACTATCAAACATTTAGAGAACAGTTCACTTCTGTGCTCCACATACAAGCCTCGCGTAATTTTAAATATTGCTGCAGGAAGTTTCTCACTCTCAAAATCACCAAAATGCCTGTTCCCTCATGGCTTCTTTCTTTCTGAGAGATTTCTTCACCTCAAAGGTGGGGCTAAGACATACCAGGATAGGGGGAAGCCTCCAGAGATCCAGCTTCTTGGTTGCCAAGCAGTGGGTCTTACACTTGGAGCAGTAGTACATCTCGTTCTCCCCCAGCTCCTCCTCGCTGGTGAAAGCACGGAGGCAGCTGTCCAGGTTGATGGGCTCAGCTTGCGCCTGCCGACTCTGCTCCACACTCTCGTGCTCATCTACGACCTGAAGGTGGAGGCAACAGGACGAACGTAAGCTGTGGAGAGCCTGGCTGGGCGCCATCCTCTCGCTCGCTCACTCCTGCCCTACTCTGCATGAGGAAAAAGAAACTCAAACCTGGAGTTTTAGAGTAAACACAGCAGCCACACAATTGTTCACAAAGACCACATCAGTAACACTGGATAATACTTCTATTACACGATGGTAACTATTCTAGGAAAATTCCTGAATGTTTCAAGATGACAAAACAAACAACTAAGGAACTGCCTGTTTATTTCCCAACTGTGGAACCCTCAAGTGGTTTACAGGAGAACTGGTCCTCAAGCCAGTGGTGCTGAGAGGAAGCCATTGATTTTTCAGAAGACAGGGCATTGCTGGTAAGCTGCAGGCTACACAGAAGCTGGGACAAAGAGCCTGCAGCACCAGCGCCGGATCTGAATGAGGTAAGAAAGTGTGCAGAGATGTTCACTAGGAGAAGGCAACAGTCCCTATGGGAGGCAACTCATTTGCACTTCAACATGCGGGTCATCATCTGCCCTTGTACCTGAGGAGGCAACGAAAGAGCAGGCTGAAAAGAGCGAGCGTTCCTAACCACTGCAGTCTTGTTAGCTAGCACCCTCGTCTGCAGAGCAAGGAGGAAGTCAGGATCAGAAAGGAAACAGAACCAAGCAGGGCAGTGATACAGAGTGGTGAGGAACAGGGCGGACTAGGAGAAGAAAGGATCCAGAATGCAACAGAAAAAGATGAGTTTTTCCTTTCCCCATTCCTGGCTGCCACTTGACAAGCAATGAGGAAGCATGACGCTGGGACACTGTGTTTGGGAAGGTGGAAGAATGCTACAGGAGACTTCAGGGGCTCTTTCTGTCCTATGGCAGAGCCAGGGCTACAAGACCAACAGTGACTGACTCTCTCTGACAGAGGTCAGACATCCGTTCATCACCTCACATGACGCTCTTCCCCTTCAGGGGTGAACTGCATTCTTTGCCTCAGGCAGTTTCTCTTACAAAATCCATGATGGGAATCCCGGGATACTTAGGTTACAAATTGGCACAGCTCCAGGCACCCAGTTTAGAAAAAGTTTTCGGGTGAGACCTTTCTCTCTGCAGAAGAAAGCTGAGTCACGAAGCTGTCACAAGACCCAATAAACTATCAAGGTTGGGACAGGTCACGCAATTAAGGTTTTACCATTGCATCACCATCCAGTCTAAAGAAATAATTTAAAATGGGGAACTTACAGGAAAATTTGGTTTTTAGAAAAGGAAACCTTGCCTGACCTTGGGTCAATGACATTTTTGGTGAGCCCAAGTTCTGTAGTAACAAGGTACTATTAACTGTCACGATCTTTTGAGCTGGTTACTCAAGGGAAAAATGGACATGCATCAAAAAGGAAGCATGCTCTACCAGGGCTGATGGAACGAGTGAGTAGGAAAAAAGGTGTGCCAAGCTCAGTGGTGTTGCTTTTCTCACAGCCAGTTAAATATTACCTCTATTATCTCTGCTAGGTATGCTTTATGGCCAACCACAAATTAGGGTAAGCTAGTCAAGAATGTTGATTTTTATTGACTATAATTTCTGTGGAACACAGGCTATACAGCTAGATGGAGACAGGAGGAAGGCACAGTGAAAAAAAAAAAAACTTGTGGACTGACAATAATTTATATTTACCGGTAAAATTTCCCTAAACAATAAAGACTTGCTTTACTTTGTGGGACCCATGCTTTGATCCTTTCCCATTGCTCTAAATTATTTATAGACAGCATTTCATTTTTCTTCCAAATGGCTTTAAAGTTCATCCTTAACACAAAACATAGGGGATGAATTAACAGCTTTCATACATTGTAAGACTATTTTTAATAGAGAAAGAGAAACCTAAGATGTTATCTAGCTTCACTTGCTGTTGAGGAATGTGAGGTCCAAATGGGGAGGGGGGGTATACAAAGAATGAGAGTAAAGGGGCTGGCATTGTGGTGCAGCAGGTTAAGCTACCACTTGTGATGCTATCACCCCACATGAGTGATGGTTTGAGTCTAAGTTGCTCTGCTTCCTATCCAGTTCCCTGTTTATGTTGAGTGGGAAGGCTGTAGATAAAGGCTGTAGATAAAGGGAGACCTGGATGGAGTACAGGTTCCTGGCTTCAACCTGGCTGAGTCCTGGCCATTGAGACCATTTGGAGAACAAACCAGTGGATGGAAGACCTCTCTTCTCTTCTCTTGTTATTTCACTCTACCTTTCAAATAAAATTTTTTAAAAAAGATTTATTTATTTGAAAATCAGAGATACAGAGAAAGAGAGAGGGAGGGATGGAGGGAGGGGAGGGGGAGGGGGAGAGGGAGGGGGAGGGGAGGGGGAGAGGGAGAGAGAATATTTTCCATCTGTTGGTTCATTCTCCAGATGATTGCAATGGCCAGGGTTAAGCCAGGTTGAAGCCAGGAGCCAGGAGATTCTTCCAGGTCTCTCACATGGGTAGCAGGAGCCCGAGCACTTGGACCATCTTCCATTGCTTTTCCCAGGCCATTAGCAGTGAGCTGGATTGGAAGTGGAGTAGCCAGGACACAAACCAGCACCCATGTGGGATGCCCGCATTGCAGGCAGTGGCTTTACCCACTTATGCCATGTTGCTGGCCCTAAGTAAAATAATCTTAAAAAAATTTTTTTAGTATCTTACAATTAATATCAGTAAAAACTGATAAAAACTGATTTTCAGTGACTGCATAATATTTCATCCAATAAGCATACCACGCTTTATTTAACCACTCCTTTATAAAATGTGACAAGCACAGGTTGTTTCTAATATTTTTATAATCATGGCAGTTTTGATGCGGGGTACCTCCTTTGTCTACGTGACTCCCCAAGCACACGTAGAAACTGCACATAGGACGAGCCCGGATTAGTCATGCGTCCTCACTCCCCAGTAAGGCATGGCACCCTCAGTGCACCAGTATAACTGGAAGTGGCGCAAGACTTAACACACCACAAGGGCTCCTCTTCCTAGAACTAGAATGTTTTCTGAATTTTGAAACTACACATTAGGCTTGTTAAAAAGAGAAAGAGATTTACATAGTCAAATAATTTTTCATCTTTATCTGAATAAATGTCCTGGAGCATACAAGGCTAAGCCTTTGCCTGAGGCACTGGCATCCCAAATGAGCACCAGTTCCTGTCCTGACTATCCCTCTTCTGATCCAGCTCTCTGCTTATGGTCTGGAGAAGCAGCGGAAGATGGTCCTAGTGCTTGGGCCCCTGAACCCATGTGGGAGACCCAGAAGAAGCTCTTGGCTCTGGATTGGCCCAGCTCTGGCTGTTGTGGCCAACAGGGGAGTGAACCAGTGGATGGAGATCTTTCTCTGTCTGTAACTCTGCCTCTCAAATAAATAAACAAATCTTAAAAAGTATATAATAATGTCCTGTCAGATTTTTTGCTGGCAAAGATGTGGGTATCTTTGTTCAGACTTCCCCTTCAAAGGAAGCACAGCTGACCTTACCGTATTACTTTGCTACAGTGAGCATGATTACAACATCAACTTCTTTTCAGCTTTCTTTAGGTTCAGCTCAAAGATCTTTCATTTGGCAAAAAAGTATAAGTTATACTCATCCTTAGCTAGAAAGGGCTAAGGAGCCTCAGGGTGTGTGAACATTTAGGGAACCAAACAGGGAGTAAAATCTAGAACTGGTAGTTTTCCTACTCATAAATAGCGTAAAAACAAAAGTCAATTACCATTACTAACTTATCTACAAGGAATGCTGAAGAAATAAGGAAATTTCCAACAATCAAGAGCCACATAAATGCAAAAATCATTACAATTCTTCACGCGACTTAGGTACTCCTCTGATGCTGCTGGTTTGACTTTTCCAACAGAGTGTTACTGTCAGCACCCTGCACACAGTACTTAGTTGATTAAGAACTACCCAAGGAAAACATTTTTAGGTAGGGATTTAGTATTTCTGAAGTTATATCTTCAAAATTTAAAAACTGCTGTGGCCAGAAGGTATCAGGAAAGGAACCAAGTATAAACAACACCCATAAAAAATGGACGCTTAAATATCCAGTCTTGAAGTGTTTTAATTCTTTCTGTAATTTTTCTGATTGCTATGTCCACTATAGGTAGCAGCTACAGCCCGAGGATGCATGTGGGTTAACTGTATTTAATAAACATGCCAGCTTTGATAACACTTAAAAGTGTGCAGAGGGAAGTTTATTGGTAGATCATGGCCAGAGAATATAATTTCTTGACTACAATCAGGTTTATTTCAATATTTACTTAATATTAGTATTTTTAATTTATTTCTACATATTTTTAGAGATTTATTTCTTTGAAAGGCAGAGAGAGAGAGATCAATCGATCTCCTATTGCTGGTTCACCCCTCAAATGCCCATTATAGTTGTAGTTGAGCAAAGCTAAAGCCAGGAGCCAGGAGCTCCATCCAGGTCTCCCATGTGAGATGCAAGAACCCAAGCACATAGGCTGCCATCTACTGCCTTCTCACACAAATTAGCAGGAAGCTGGATTAGAAGTAGAGGAGCTGAGACTCAAACAATTACTCTGATATAAGATGGAGGTGTCACAAGCAGTGGCCCAAACCTCTGTGCCACAATGCCTGCCCCCAATATTAGTAATTTTTTTTAAATGTAATGCTCCAGTCTAGAAGACATAAGATAGTAAAACCTAAGCAATCATGTCAATAAATCAAGTGTCATAGAGAATGCCACTAAATGTTTTTCTGGTTACACTTAAGATGTCTAAAACAGTATAATTAAACTGGGGAAAATTTCCCATATGAAGCCAGCATTTTTTTAAAGACTTATTTAGGCCGGCGCCGCGGCTCACTAGGCTAATCCTCCACCTAGCGGCGCCGGCACACCGGGTTCTAGTCCCGGTCGGGGCGCCGGATTCTGTCCCGGTTGCCCCTCTTCCAGGCCAGCTCTCTGCTATGGCCAGGGAGTGCAGTGGAGGATGGCCCAAGTGCTTGGGCCCTGCACCCCATGGGAGACCAGGATAAGCACCTGGCTCCTGGCTTCGGATCAGCGCGGTGCGCCAGCTGCGGTGGCCATTGGAAGGTGATCCAATGGCAAAGGAAGACCTTCCTCTCTGTCTCACTGTCCACTCTGCCTGTCAAAAAAAATAAAATTAAAAAAATTTAAAAAAACCACTTATTTATTTATTTGAAATTCAGAGTTACAGACAGACAGAGAGATCTTCCATTGCTAGTTCACTCCCCAGATGCCTGCAATGGCTGGGACTGAGCCAGGTGGAAGCCAGGAACCTATAGTTTCACCTGGGTCTGCCATGTGGGTAAAGGGGCCTAAGCACTTGGGCCCTCTTCCACTGCTTTCCCAGGCCATTAGCAGGGAGCTGGGTGGAAGTCGAGCAACTAGGATATGAACCAGCGGCCATATGGGATGTGGCAACATTACCTGCTTTGCCACAATGCCAGCCCCACGAATCTACCACTTGAGGGTGACCCTGGCTACTTACTCTTTCCTGTGAGGTTTGATAGCGAAGGTGAAGGGCTGTGGGATCCCAATCCACGGCAATATAGGCATTTCCAATGAAAGCTCTATCTTCCCCACAATCAATTTTACAGCCTCTGCAAAATCTAAAAGCAGGGGAAAGATCCATAGAAGAAATAATCATAAAGGAATTTAAATTTTTGTAATCAGAAATACTCTCCTTTCCAACTTTTCTACTTTCTTCTTGGGCTTCTAAATTGAGATTCTGATAAATGTAAAGCATATTTATTAATAATAGCATGCTTATCACTTATTAAGTATTTGGCTTCACAAAGCACTTGATAAACCTTTGTTAATGCACAGGATGATGTGAATTTAATGGCAAATAAATGATGGAACTGGCTGTGTGAGACAAAGTAGCTCTTATGAAATTCCTAAATTCAGTTATTTCATGCTCTAAGGGAAGACAATTTACCTGGGACAACAAGGCCTATCTCCTGGTTTGTACAGTGGCACATGAAAATACGACAGGCCTTCAAAAAGTTTGTGGAAAACGCATATTATGAAAAAAAAATGAATTTCAAAAATTTTTGCACCATAATAAACTTACCTTTTTATTAAGCTTTCCACAGGGAAAAATTGTTTTTTAATTTATTTGAAAGGCAGAGAGACAGAGACATTTCATCCTTTGGCTCTCTCCCTCAGTGACTGCAACAGCCAGGAATGGGCCAGACTGAAGCCAGGAGCCTGGAACTCAAGCTGGGTCTCCCATGTGGGTGGTAGGAACCCAGACACTTGAGCCATTGCCCGCTGTCTCCCAGCGTGCACACCAGTAAGGGAACTGGAATCAGGAGTAGAGACGAGACTCAAAACCAGGCACTTTGGCATGAGATCTGAGCATCTTGTGTACTGAGCCCAAGGCCAGGTTCCCCACAAACTTTCTGAATCATCATTGTATATGTATATAAAAATTTATGGCATTACAAGGGGAGGGCGTGACAAAGTCATGATTCCAATGCCTGTTTGACACTCAGTTTGCTAATCTATTACAGTTCTCTAAAGGTTCACTTCAGTCTTGCCAGGTGCCTTCCTTGCTTTAACAGCAATGACTGATGGATCTGTGCAACTCTTTTAAAAACCAAAACTAGACTTCTATTAAGGCCTAGTAAATAGACTATGTTCTACCAGACTCAGAACTGCCAAACTGATTTATATTTAAGGAGCAGAAGATCCAGAATAATAAAGATTGAAAATAAACTATGAAGTTGGTATGAACTGTGGAGTTCATACAACTGGCTAAGTCTCAAAAGTAAAACTCAGCAATCAACCTCACAAGAGTCTCATTATTTGCTATTACTTCTCATAACTAGGAATATCTTTGAAAAACTGTGTAATATCTAACTCTGCGTGGCTCTGCAATTCTACCAAAATGTTTCTTTTGCAAAAGCTCACTTTACCTGTACCATGGGCACCAAGCACAGGAGTTTCCATCTTTCTGTACAACTCGTAGAGTGAACGGGTATTGATAGCCCATGCTGTCATCACTGAAACAGAGCAGAACACAAACCAAAAAGTGTCAGAAGCCTTTCTGGTGTGGGGTTCAACTCACTTTCATCTTCCTTTGAAGAATCCTAGGAAAGGGCAGCTGCCATAGCAGTATGCAAACGCTCACAGCACAGTATTATCCTAATCCCCCACCTGCAGCCTTGAGCCAGCTCCATTCTGGACTCCCAAGCTATAACTGGATGGCCAGATGTCTCAAAAAGAGTCCATGTGGTTCACGAACATGTTCAAAGATAAGCTAATCATGAAGCCAAACGACAATTATCTTCCAGCCATAATTTTATCAGAGGACTTAATTCACATTAAATTGAAATAATTAGACAGTTTCATGCCAAGAACATTGACACATCACAGAAAGTTGAATATTTAGGTGCTTCCTTTAATCAGACTCCTGATATAATAACACATGCTAGGTACGCACCTTTTCCCTGCCTTATCTACTCAAAGACAGAAATGACTTATTAAGCTCAGAGAAACCTTTTTTTTTTTTTTTTTTGACAGGAAGAGTTAGATAGTAAGAGAGAGAGAGACAGAGAGAAAGGTCTTCCTTCTGTTGGTTCACCCCCAAATGGCCACTAAGGTGCTGCGCCGATCCAAAGCCAGGAGCCAGGAGCCAGGTGCTTCCTCCTTGGTCTCCCATGCAGATGCAGGGCCCAAGCACTTGGGCCATCCTCCAATGCCTTCCTGGGCCACAGCAGAGAGCTGGACTGGAAGAGGAGCAACCGGGACAGAATCCGGAGCCCCAACTGGGACTAGAATCCAGGGTGCTGGCACCACAGGCGGAGGAGTAGCCAAGTGAGCCGCGGCGCCAGCCAAGCTCAGAGAAACTTTTTTTTAAAAAATGTATTTATTTATTTCAAAGTCAGTTGCAGAGAGAGAGAGAGAGAGAGAGAGAGAGAGAGAGAGAGAGAGAGGCCTCCTATCTATTGGTTCATTCCTGAAATGGCTACAATGGCTGGGGCTCAACGCTGGCTCCACAGTGTTTCAAAAACCATCACCACCACCACCTACATCTGAAAGTTGTTCACCTTCCCAAACAGAAGCTTTTACCCATTAAGCAGCTGTAAACTCCCTCCCTTACACCCAGACCCTGATCTCTAATCTATTTTCTGCCCTTATGAATTTGCCTATTCTAGATACCTTATAAATGAAATCATACAATATTTATCATTTGTGTCTGGCTTATTTCACTTAGCATAGTACTTTTAATTAAAAATTTGAAAGGATTGATTTTATGTATTTGAAAGGTAGAGTTACAGGGAGGGAGGGACAGAGACAGAAGAAATCTTCCATCCCCTGATTCACTACCCAAATAGCAATAAGAGCCATGGCTGGGTTAGGACAAAGCCAAGAGCCAGGAACTCCATCCAGGTCTATCACGTGGGTGGCAGGGGACCAAGCACTCAGGAAGTTTTCCACTGCCTTCCCAGGTACTTTAGCAAGGAACTGGCCTGGAAGTGGAATAGCTGGGACTAGAACTGGCCTTGAGGGTGGTGACTTAAACTGCTACACCACAACGCTGGCCCAGAGCATAGTGTTTTTTTTTTTTGTTTTTTTTTTTTTTTAATTTTTTTTTTGACAGGCAGAGCAGACAATGAGAGAGAGAAAGACAGAGAGAAAGGTCTTCATTTACTGTTGGTTCACCCTCCAACGGCCGCTGCTGGCAGTGCGCTGTGACCGGCGCACCGTGCTGATCCGAAGCCAGGAGCCAGGTGTTTATCCTGGTCTCCCATGGGGTGCAGGGCCCAAGCACTTGGGCCATCCTCCAATGCCTTCCCGGGCCACAGCAGAGAGCTGGCCTGGAAGAGGGGCAACCGGGACAGAATCTGGCGCCCAGACCGGGACTAGAACCCGGTGTGCCGGTGCCACAAGGCGGAGGATTAGCCTAGTGATCCACGGCACTGGGCCTAGAGCATAGTATTTTTAAAGTTCATTTATGTTGTAATGTGTATCAGAATTACATTCCTTCATTTTTATAGTTAAATAATATCCCATTACATGTATATGCCACATTTTGTCCATTTATTTGTTGAAGGACATTTGGCTTGCTGCTCTGACACATTAGATTCTTTTGATGGGAATCAGATGCAATTTATCATTTCACCCACGAATATCTCATCATGTACTTCCAATGCAGGCTGGACAATCTTTATTTAACCCAACCCAATACCCATGCCTTCATCTATACCATGTCACTAAAACAGCTTTCAGAAAGGTCACCAAAAACCACCACCTTATCAAATCCAGAGGGCAATTTCCACTCTTTTTTTTTTTTTTTCTTGATTTTTAAAAGATTTATTTACTTGATGGGAGCTGGCACTGTGGTGCAGTGGGTTAAGCCACGGCCTGTAGCACCAGCATCGCATATGGGCACAGGTTTGAGTACTGGCTACTCCATTTCTGATCCAGTGCCCTGCTAATGCACCTGGAAAAGCAGTAGGAGATGGTTCAAGTCCTTGGGATCCTGAACCAATATGGGAGACCCGTGAAGAAGCTCCTGACTCTTGGCTTCGGCTGCAGTCCAGCCCTGGTTACTGTGGCCACTTTGGGAGTAAACCAGCGTATAGAAGCTCTCAGTCTCTCCTCTCTGTCACTCTGCCTTTCACATAAATAAATAAATTTTAAGCAAAAAAAGGGACACATTTATTTGAAAGGCAGAGTGACAGAGAAAGACAGAAATCTGCTGGTTTACTTCCCAAATGGTTGCGATGGTCAGGGGCTGGGACAGGTTGAAGCCAGAAGGCAAAATCCATCCTGGTCTCCCACATAGGTGGCAGGGACCTAAGCAACTGGGCCCTTCTCTGCTGCCTTGCTAGGCACATTAGCAGGTAGATGGACTGGAAGCAGAGTGGCCAAGACGTCAATCAGTTTTCAGATGAGATGCAGGTTTTACAAATGGTGGCTTAACCTGCTCACCACAATACCTGCTCCACTTGCTCTTTTTAATTCCAAATGCTGGAATGCATCAGGAATTAACATCTTAGCATCTTGGGGTCAGAGTTGTAGCACAGTGGCTAAGGGGCTACCTGTGATGTTGGCATCTTATGTCAGGGCTGGTTCATGTTCTGGCTGCTCCACTTTTATTCCATCTTCCTGATAATGTGCCTGGGAAAGCAGCGGCAGAAGGCCCAAGTACTTTGGTCCCTATGATCCCATGGGAGACCTGGATGAAGCACCTGGCTCCTGGCTTATGTATGGCCCAAACAGGACCACTGTTGTCATCTGGAGACAGAACCAGTGGACAGAAGACATCCTTCTCCCTCTTTGTAACTCTTTCAAATAATAAAAGAAATAAATCTTGGCCAGCACTGTGCCTCACTTAGGCTAATCCTCCACCTGTGGCACCGGTACCCCAGGTTCTAGTCCCGGAGAGGGTGCTGGATTCTGTCCCGGTTGCTCCTCTTCCAGTCCAGCTCTCTGCTGTGGCCCAGGAAGGCATTGGAGGATGGCCCAAGTGCTTGGGCCCTACATCTGCATGGGAGACCAAGAGGAAGCACCCGGCTCCTGGCTTCAGATTGGCGTGGCGCTGGCCGTGGCGGCCATTTCGGGTGTAAACCAATGGAAGGAAGACCTTTCTCTCTGTCTCTCTCTCACTGTCTAACTCTGCCTGTCAAAAAAATAAATAAATAAAAATTAAAAAAATAAAAAAATAAATCTTAAAAGAAGAATCTTGGAATATTTTCTTTTTAAAAAAATATTTTGAGATTACTTATTTATTAGATTTATTTTACTTATTTGAAAGGCAGAGTTACAGAGAGTTCTTCCATCCACTGGTTCACTCCCCAAATGGCCACAATAGCTGGAGCTGAGCTGATCCGAAGTTAGGAGCCAGAAGCTTCTCTCATTTGGTTCCCAAGCCATTCTCTGGTACTTTCCTAGACCTGTCAGCAGGGAGCTGGATTGGAAGTAGAGCAGCTAGGACTAGAATGGGCGCTAATATGGGATGCCGGTGCTGCAGGCCTGGGCTTTAACCCACTTTGCCATGGCGCCAGTTCCTCTTGGCATATTTTCTATCTGATTTTATTATCTGGTGTTAAGGTTTTTTTTTTTCCTCTTAAGATTTACTTATTTTATTATTTGAAAGTCAGAGTTACAGAGTAAGAGGAAGAGACAGATATTCCATGTGCTGGTTCACTTTCCAGATGGCCACATTTCAGGTCTCCCATGTGTATGGCAGGGGCCCAAATACTTGGTCCATCTTCCACTGCTCTTCCTAGGCCACTGGCAGGGAGCTAGATTTGAAGGGGAACAGTCGGGACTTGAAAGGGTGCCCATATGGGATGCTGGCAGCTTAAGTAGCTGGTTTATCCATTACGCCACACCACCAGCCCCAGTGTTAAGGTTTTAAATACCAATTATTTGTTGATGACATCTACACTTATAGCTCTAAGAAAGGACGTTCAGGCCGGCGCCGCAGCTCACTAGGCTAATCCTCCACCTAGCGGCGCCGGCACACCGGGTTCTAGTCCCGGTTGGGGCGCCGGATTCTGTCCCGGTTGCCCCTCTTCCAGGCCAGCTCTCTGCTGTGGCCAGGGAGTGCAGTGGAGAATGGCCCAGGTGCTTGGGTCCTGCACCCCATGGGAGACCAGGAAAAAGCACCTGGCTCCTGCCATCGGATCAGCACGGTGCGCCGGCCGCAGCGCACCGGCCGCGGCGGCCATTGGAGGGTGAACCAACGGCAAAGGAAGATCTTTCTCTCTGTTTCTCTCTCTCTCACTGTCCACTCTGCCTGTCAAAAAATAAAAAATAAAAAAATAAAATAATATAAAAAAAAAAAGAAAAAAAGAAAGGACGTTCAAAAGAACTGGAAAAGGGGGAGTGAGGGAGAAGGAAAGGAAATATCATTTTATTCTTAGAATTTATCTACAAACTACATTGAATATGTTAAAAACTAATTAAAAATTAAAATAAAAAATTAAGGGGGCTGGTGCCGTGGCGCACTAGGTTAGTCCTCCACCTGCGGTGCTGGCATCCCATACGGGCGCTGGGTTCTAGTCCCAGTTGCTCCTCTTCCAGTCCAGCTCTCTGCTGTGGCCTGGAAAGGCAGTGGAGGATGGCCCAAGTGCTTGGGCCCCTGCACCAGCATGGGAAACCAGGAGGAAGCACCTGGTTCCTGGCTTTGGATCAGCGTAACTCCAGCCATTGCAGCCATTTGGGGAGTGAACCAACAGAAGGAAGACCTTTCTCTCTGTCTCTCTCTCACTGTCTGTAACTCCACCTGTCAAATAAATAAATAAAAATCTTTTAAAAAATAAATAAAAATTTTAAAAAGACCAGAAAAACCTTAATATAAAAACACATATCTTGGGGGCTGGTGCTGTGGTATAGTAAGTAAAGCCACCGCCTGCAGCGTCAGCATCCCCTATCAGCGCCAGTTCAAGTCCTAGCTGCTCCACTTCCGATCCAACTCTCTGCTATGGCCTGGGAAAGCAGTAGAGATGGCCCAAGTTCTTGGGCCCCTGCACCCACGTGGGAGACCTGGAAGAAGCTCCTGGCTCCTAGCTTCAGATCGGCACAGCTCTGGCCATTGCAGCCAAGTGGGGAGTCAACCAGCGGATGGAAGACCTCTCTCTCTCTCTCTCTCTCTGTTTCTCTCTCCTCCTCTTTATGTGTAACTCTGACTTTCAAATAAATAAATAAATCTTTAAAAAAAAAAGCCAAAAAAAAACCCAAAAAATCATATCTTGAATATCATTCAATATCTTGAATTTAACTTGGATGGTCTCTTCCTGCCAGAACTACCTCCTCCTTGTTTTCTTCTTTGTATTAATTGGCAGCAACAGTCACAAACAATGGCTATAGACTCTATTCTCCCTCTCCCTCATACTTCATATTCAATTCATTGGTAAGCCCAGGAAAGTCCTCTTTAGATTTTTACTTCAAATTTAATCTCACTTGACTGTCATTTCTGCTAAATATAACACTCATCAGTTAAGTTGCTTATCTATTTTTTTAAAATTTTTATTTATTTATTTATTTATTTTGACAGGCAGAGTGGAGAGTGAGAGAGAGACAGAGAGAAAGGTCTTCCTTTGCTGTTGGTTCACCCTCCAATGGCTGCCATGGCCGGCGCATCGCGCTGATCTGATGGCAGGAGCCAGGTACTTATCCTGGTCTCCCATGGGGTGCAGGGCCTCCACTGCACTCCCTGGCCACAGCAGAGAGCTGGCCTGGAAGAGGGGCAACCAGGACAGAATCCAGCGCCCCGACTGGGACTAGAACCTGGTGTGCCGGCGCCGCAAGGCGGAGGATTAGCCTAGTGAGCCGCGGCGCCGGCATAGTTGCTTATCTATTATTTGCCATTTTCCTTCAATATTTATTTACATTAAGCTCTATCCTAATTATCAAAAGACCCCATATCAAAGATAACTTGTTTGACTCAGTTGCCACAGAAGCAGAACTCTGATTTGCAATATGAAAACAAGAAAATGAAATCCAATTCAACTGGGATACAAATAAGGTATCACAATCCCAAAGATTATTCAAAGTTCAATAGAATACCATTAGGAGGAATGGAAAGAAAACAAAACGTTTATCTTTACCTAGTTAAATGACATAGTATGGAAATAATTTAACTGAATCATTTGTTATGACATGAGATGTTTTTAGAGTTCATGTATGACGAAACAGATCATGGAAAAATTAAATGAAGAATTTATTTTGTGCAACAAAATCTGAAGTCTATGTGTTTTCCATGAGCTTTTTTAAGAAAAGATTTTATTTATTTGAGAGGTAGAGTTACAGAGAGAGGAAGAAACAGAGACAAAGGTCTTCTATCAGCTGGTTCACTCCCCAAATGGTCACAACGGCCAGAGCTGGGCCGATCCAAAGCCAGGAGCTGGAGCTTCTTCCGGATCTCTCACGTGGGTGCAGGGATCCAAGCACTTGGGCCATCTTCCACTGTTTTCCCAGGCCATAGCAAAGAGCTGGGTTGGAAGAGGGGCAGCTGGGACACTAACTGCCACTGCAGGCGAAGGTATAGCCTACTATGCCACAGGGCTGGCCCCATGAACTTTTTTAAAAGCCCTCATATACAATCATTTTTAAGACTTTCCCATCCCCAGATAAATTTGTCTTTTAATTCCATTTTCCATGAACTCTCTGAAGTACCCTTCACATGTACACTGTTACTCCCATTCTCAATCTCAGAGATTAAGATGACACAAATTTCCTGATGAATTCACTCTTTACTTTTACAATAACAGAAGACAAGAATATTACCTAAAGCACTGGCAGGAGGGATTTAGGCAAGAGGTTAGTAAAGGGTTATTGGACACCAGGATGTCTAAGAGAGGAAAGAAAGCTTTCCCTCCATACGCACAGTATCAAATCAAATGGCTGTATTATATGCTTTCTGAATGGTTCTTCCCAGAGTCATTAACTTAATGTGGAATGAGTTCTAGTAATCACACAGAATTCACACAAATCATTGAGAGTTTGAGAACTGCAAGTCTAGGTGATGCCCTGAACTCACCAATCCTGAGCATGGTTACTAGCTTCCTGAGGTGGGAGTGGGCTGGCTAATCGAGACACTTGAATCCAAACTGCATCATAGAGGTCTTTCTTCCGGGTATGCACAGTACAGGGCACAATCAGTGGCATTCCAAAAAGGCTGGGGCGATTCTTCTGAGATGACAGGAAATAGAGTTCTGTCCTCATCTATGTGTAAAACAAGAGGAGAGAGAGATGAGAAGAGAGATTTCTGATTCCTCCCTTCAGTTTTTCTAAGACGGCCAATAATAGGCATTGCTACCATTTTCAAATTAGTATCACACTCATCTCTTTATTTATAGAACCATCTATGGTAACATGAAGAGAAAGGCTATTTAAAATAGAGTCATTGAAAGATTCAGGTATTCCCAATTTCAGAGTTGTTGTCCATCAAACTTGGATTTCAGCAACTAATATATTTTTTAAAGATATATTTTTTTATTTGAAAGGTAAAGTTACAGAGATAGAGAAGGAGAGAGGGAGAGAGATCTTCCATCCACTGGTTCATTCCCCAAATGGCCACAATGACTGGAGGTTGACCAGGCTAAAGCCAGGAGCCAGGAGCTTATTCCAGGTCTCCCACATAAGTGCAGGAGCCCAAGGACTTGGGCCATCTTCAGCTACTTTCCAGGCACATAGCAGAAAAATGGAGCAACTAGGACTTAAATGGGATGCCAGCACAGCAGGACGTGGCTTAACCCACTGGTGTCATAGCACTGGCCCCGGAAATTAATATTTTCAAACTATTTTTTTCTGATAACATTTCATACATATACTGAATCATATATATAAACTAGTAATAGTTTCATAGTTTAAGGCTTTTAAAAAATTAAAACTATTTTTTTCTCTAAAGTATGGCAAAAACCAAAATGCTCCCTTCAAAATTTTCTAAGAGGAAGTTGTTGATAGCAGTTGTTATGGCATAAATACCCAAATATTTGGAGACTTGTGAATCCCAGTTACTAATTTTTTAACAACTTACCACCTTCCTAAAAGCAGCTAAGAGATCTTAGCTTTTTTTTTTTAAACAAATGATAGAATATAAAGTAAAAGGAATTTAAATTTGCTTTGAATATGTTAAGTAAAATTTAAAAATAAATTATTCATTTGAGAGGCGGAGGGAAAGAGAACTAGAGATCCTGATGTTTCACTTCCCAAATGCTTGCAACGGTCCCAGGCAGGGGGCCAAACCCAGGAACTCAATTCTTGTCTCCTACATGGGTGGCAGGAAAACAATCTCTTGGGCTGTCACTACTGCCTCACAGAGTGTGCATTAGCAGGAAGCTGGAATCAAAAGCCAGAGCTGAGAATCAAACCCAGGCACCTAGGTAAGTGACGCAGGTGTTTGTGTGTTTAAATATTTATTTTATTTATTTGAAAGACAGACTAACAGAGAGAGAAAGAGAGAGAGAAAGTCTTCCATCTGCTGGTTCACTATCTAAATTGCTGCAACAGCCAGGACTGGCTAGGCTGAAGCCAAGAGCCAGGAACCAGGAGCTTCTTCATGGGTCTCCCATATGCGTGCAGAGGCCCAAGCACTTGGGCTTTCTTCTACTGCTTTCCCAGATGCATTATCAGGGAGCTGGATTGGAAGCAAAGCAGCCAGGACTCAACCTGTGCTGATATGGGATGCTGTTTTTGCAGGTGGCTGCTTAATCTGCTATTCCACAACACCAGCCCCATAGGTGTGTTAACCATTTGGACAAACACCTGGCCCCAGAGTTTTAAAAATGATATTCCTTAACACAGAAAATTCAGAGAATTAGATTAGAAAGAGTTGCTTAATAACAAAAAAGTTGGGGCCGGCGCAGTGGCTCAGCAGGTTAAAGCCATGAACTACAGCACCAACATCCCATATGGACACTGGATCCAGTCTTGGCTGTTCCACTTCGGATCCAGCTCCCTGCTAATGCACCTAGGAAACTAGCAGAGGATGGTCCAAGTCCATGTGGAAGAACTGAAAGAAGCTCCTGGCTTGTGGCTTCAGCCTGGCCCAATCTTGGCTGTGTGGCCATTTGGGGAGTGAACCAGCATATGAAAGATCTCTCTCCTGGGGCTGGCGCTGTGGCGTAGTGGGTAAAGCCACCGCCTGCAGTGCTGGCATCTCATATGGGCGCCGGTTCAAGTCCCGGCTGCTTCACTTCTGATCCAGCTCTCTGCTGTGCCCAGAGAAAACAGTGGAAGATGGCCCAAGCCTTTGTGCCCCTGCACCCATGTGGGAGACCCAGAAGAGGTTCCTGGCTCCTGATTGGCACAGCTCTGGCCATTGCAGCCAATTGGGGAGTCAATCAGCAGATGGAAGACCTCTCTCTCTGACTCGCCTTCTCTCTCTGTGTAACTCTTTCAGATAAATAAATAAATCTTTTAAAAAATTATAAACTTACTAGAGGTTATTGTTTCTAGATTAAAATATACTTCTGGTGGCCTGTGTTGTGGAGAGCAGGTTAAGCCTCTGCATGTGACACCAGCATCCCATATTGGAGCACCAGTTTGAGTCCTCCCTCTCTGTTTCCAGTCCAGATCTCTACCAATGCACCTGAGAAAGCAGTGAAGGATGGCCCCAGTACTTGGGCCCCTACACTCACGTGGGAGACCCAGATGGAGTTCCTGGCTCCTGGCTTCCATCTGGCCTAGTTCTGAGTGTTGCAGCTACTTGGGGAATTAACCAGCAGATGATATCTCTGTCTCTTCCTGTCTCTCTGTAACTCTGGCCTTTCAAATAAACAAAATTAAATCTTTTCTTTTAAACATTTATTTATTTAATTATTTGAAAGTCAGCATTAAATAGAGAAAGAGAGATCTTCCATCCACCAGTTCACTCGCCAGATGGCCACAAAGGCAAGGCTGGGCCAGGCTGAAGCCAGGAGCCTCTTCCAAGTCTCCCAGATGGGTGTAGAGGACCAAGTACTTGGGCCATTCTCCACTGCTTTCCCAGGCACATTAGCAGGGAGCTGGATCAGAAGTGAAGCAGTCAGGACTTGAACATCATCCTGTTATGGTAACCTTTCCCTATGCCCTAGAGGTAAAAACCTGCTCGTTTCTCACTGGTTAAATCTTATTCCCCACTCTACTGCAGAAATTTATTTTACTTTTCATATTTATTTATTTGAAAGGTAAGAGTGACAGAGCTTGAGGGAGAAAAGAGAGAAATCTTTGATTTACTGGTTTACTCCCCAAATGGTTGCAACATCCAGGTCTGGGTCAGGCTGCAGATAGGAGCCAGAAGCTCCATCTGGGTCTCCCACATAGGTGGCAGGGGTCCAGGTATGTGGGCCATCTTCTGCAGCCTTCCCAGGCACATTAGAAAAAGCTGAGCTGGAAGTACAGAATAGCAGGGACTCAAACCGGCACTCCAATATGGGAATACGGGCATCCAGCGGGGGTTAACCTGCTGCACCATGATGCCCACCCCTCTGTCCTTTAAAAATAATTTCATTAATTTTAAAGGCAAGTAGACAGAGATAGAAAGAGTGACATCTCCCATCTACTGGTTCTCTCTTGCAATGTCCACAACATCATGGCAGAGCCAGGCTGAAGCTAGGAGCTTAGAACTTAATTCATGTCTCACATGTTGGTGGCAGGGACCCAAGTATTCAAATCATCAACTGCTGCCTCTCAGGGTGTACCCTGGTAGGAAGCTGGAATCAGGAGCAGAGCCAGGGCTCAAACCAATGCACTCTGATATGGGATGTGGGTATCCACATAACATCTTAACCACTGAAACTGCATCAAACACCAGACCCTTCATATTTTCTTATTGGTATCTTTGGATGGAACTGAGGTTCTTACTGTGTTCAAATTCAGTTCTATAGTTCACCTGGAATTGTGAGAGGTAGGTGCTGATTAGTAGGATATCTATTTGTCCCAGCACCATTTACTGAGAACATGATTTTTCTCTTACTGTTCTGCAATGTCACCATTGTTATAAATCAAGTGCTCATGTATGTGTTTACCTATTTTTTCTTAATGATTTATTTGAAAGGCAGAGTTAACACAGAAAGAGATACAGACAAAGAGATCTTCCTTCCACTGGTTGATTTTCCAAATGGCCAGCACGGCTAGGGCTGGGCCAGGCAGAAGCCAGGAACCTGGAACTCCATCCAGGTCTCCCACATGGGTAACAAGGCCGAAGCCCTTAGGCAATCTTCTGCTGCTTTTCCCATCAGCAGGGAGCTGGATAGGAAGTGGTGCAGCTAGGACTCGAACTGGCACTCATAAGGGACAATGATGTTGGAGGCAATGGGTTAACCTGCTGTGTCTCAGTGCTGGCTCCTGTGTACCTATTCTTACGCTCTATTCTATTCCACTGGTATGTCTTTCCTTGCACAAATATTTCAAGTACCACAGCTTTATGTAATACATGTCAGCATCTAGTAGCTCTATTTCTCATGCCTTATTGTTTTTCTTTTTTTAAAAAAAAGATTTGTTTATTTATTTGAAAATCAGAGTTACACAGAGAGGAGAGGCAGAGAAAGAGAGAGAGAGAGGTCTTCCATCCATTAGTTCACTTCCTAGTTGGCCACAACAGCCAGAGCTGCGCCAATCCTTAGCTAGGAGCCAGGAGCTTCATCTGGGTCTCCCACGTGGGTGCAGGGGCCCAAGGACTTAGGCCATCTTCTACTGCTTTCCTAGGCCATATCAGAGAGCTGGATTGGAAGTGGAGCAGCTGGGACTTGAACCAGCGCCCACAGGGGATACTAGCACTTCATGCCAGGGTGCTAACCCGCTACGCCACAGCGCCTGCCCCATCCTTATTGTGTTTTTGAAGTTTTTATTTAATGAGTGCATTTTTTCATAGATTTAACTTTAGGAATATAGTGGTTCTTTCCCCCATGTCCCCCCTACCTTATTGTGTTTCAAAAGTTATTATGGTTATTCCTGGTGTTTTAGTATTTCTAAATCAGAATCAGCTAATCAAGTGATATACACAGAAGTGTGACCATGCACGCACACATAAAGTTAGTATTTTTACTGGATTTTATGTTCAATCTGTAGATTAGTTTGTGGAGGACTGGAATCTTTAAAACACTGAATCTTCTAATCCACAAACACAGCCTATTCCTTCAAATATTTATTTTAATTTCTGATAATATTTTATTATTTACTATATAGATATATCTTCTAAAGTTTATACTAAGTACTTAATTTTTGGATGGAAAATCTAAATTTTTTGATTGTATGATAATTGGTATTTGTAGTAAGTTAAATGGTAATCCCCCAAAAGATATGTCTATATTCCAATATATACCTATATTCAAATTACCTGGAAAAGGTAAATATGATCCTATTTGTAATAACAGTTTTTGCAGATGTAATTAAATTGAGAAACTTGTGCAGAGATCATCCTGGGTTATCTGGGTGGGCATTAAGTACAATGACAAGTATCCTTGTAAGAGACAAGCAGAAGGAGAGGGAAAAGGCCATGTGGACATGTGGAGGTTACAGTTATGCAGCAAGGAAAGTCCAAACCACCAGAAGTTGGAAGAGGCAAGGAAGCATTTTTCCCTAGAGCCTTTGGAAGGAGCACAGCCCTCCTGACACCTTGATCTGGATTTCTGGCCTCCTGACTGTGAAAGAATAATTTCTGCTATTTTCAGACACAAAACCCGTGATGAGGGCCAGTGCTGTGGCACAGAAGGCTAAGCTTTTGCCTGCAGTACCAGTATCCCATATGGGCACAGGTTCAAGTCCCATCTGCTCCACTTCTGATCCAGCTCCTTGCTAATGCGTCTGGGAAAGCAGCCAAGGATGGCGCAGGTGCATGGGTCTCTGTACCCACGTGGGAGACCCAACAGAGCTCCTGGCTCCTCCTGGCTTCTGCCTGGACCAGCCCTGGCCACTGCGGCTATTTGGGGAGTGAACCAATGGATAGAAGATCTCTCTCTGTTTCTTCTTCTCTATTTCTCTGCCTTTGAATTAAATAAATAAATTAACAAAAAAACTTGCAGTATTTTGTTATAAAAGTCCTAAGAAACTAATACAGTGCCTTTAGCACAACTTCATTTTTTCTTGTTGCTGCTACATAATTAATACTTGATTCTTTACAATGATTTTGCATCCTTAAAAAGTTCAGTTCATCTGCTTTTTAAATGAATAGGGAGAAGTACTTTTTAAAAAAAGATTTATTGCACTGCGGCTCACTTGGCTAACCCTTCACCTGTGGTGCTGGCACCCTGGGTTCTAGTCCCAGTTGGGGCTCCAGATTCTGTCCCGGTTGCTCCTCTTCCAGTCCAGCTCCCTGCTGTGGCCCAGGAAGGCAGTGGAGGATGGCCCAAGTGCTTGGGCCCTGCACCCGCATGGGAGACCAGGAGAGGCACCTGGCTCCTGGCTTCGGATTGGCGCAGCACGCCAGTCACAGCACGCCAGCCGTAGTGGCCATTTGGGGGGTGAACCAACGGAAAAGGAAGACCTTTCTCTCTGTCTCTCTCTCTCTCTCTCACTGTCTAACTCTGCCTGTCAAAAAAAAAAAAGATTTTTATTTATTTGAAAGGCACAGTTAGAGAGACAGAGAGAGAGAGAGAGAGAGAGAGAGAGAGAGAGAAAGAGAGAGAGAAAGAGAAAGAGAAAGAGAGAAAGAAATCTTCCATCTGCTGGCTCACTCCCCAAATGGCAGCAACGGGTAGAGCTGGGCTAGGCTAAAGCCAGGAGGCAGGAGCTTTAGGAGTATCTTTTAGTCCCATAGATGTAATAAATTAGATGGGAATATAAAAATAAAAGTGAATTTTATAGTTTGGATAATTAATGCATTTCAGGAATTTTCTAATAGTCCTAGTTTTTATTTTATAAAAGTCCAAAGAACTCAATCAGTTATCCAGTGCAAAATTATTACCAAAACACAGGATGTTCAATTTCTTATCTAGTGCTTTCTATTTTTTTCCAAGTTGCCACTGTACCTAATGACTACCTCTTTAACAATATCTAGTTATTTAACAGATCACAGTTTTCAAATTTTTCTATTTATTTATTTGAGAAGAGAGAGGGAGAGACAGCTTTTATCTGCTGCCTCATTTGCCAAATGCCTGTACTAGCTGGGAACACCCTGGGTCAAAGCACGGGACTGAGAACCCAAACCAGGTCTCCCATGTGGATGGGTGGATGGCAGGAACCCAATCACTTGAACCATCATTGCTACTTCCCAGTGTCCACATTAGCAGGAAGCTAATCAGGAATGGAGCTGCACACTGAATCCAGGAACTTGGACGCGGACGTCTTTCTTTTTTTTTTTTTTTTGACAGGCAGAGTGGACAGTGAGAGAGAGAGACAGAGAGAAAGGTCTTCCTTTGCCGTTGGTTCACCCTCCAATGGCCGCCACGGCCGGCGCGCTGCGGCCGGCGCACCGCGCTGATCCGATGGCAGGAGCCAGGAGCCAGGTGCTTTTCCTGGTCTCCCATGGGGTGCAGGGCCCAAGCACCTGGGCCATCCTCCACTGCACTCCCAGGCCACAGCAGAGAGCTGGCCTGGAAGAGGGGCAACCGGGACAGAATCCGGCGCCCCAACCGGGACTAGAACCCGGTGTGCCGGCGCCACTAGGCGGAGGATTAGCCTAGTGAGCCGCGGCGCCGGCCAGGATGCGGACGTCTTATTCACTAGGCAAGGATGCTTGGCCTGACATCTTTTTTTTTTTTTTTTCTCTAAATCAAAGAGTCACCCTTTAATGAAGTAGCTATATACAAGTATGCATCAAAAAGTTCATGGAGGGGGCTGATGTTGCAGTGTAGAGAGTAAAGCCACTGCCTGCACACCGGCATCCCATATGGGCACCAATTTGTGTCCTGGTTGCTCCATTTCTGATCCAGCTCCCTGATAATGGCCTGGAAAAGCAGCAAGAAGATGGCCCAAGTGTTTGGGCTCCTCCTGCTCATGTGGGTTATCCAGATGAGGCACCTGGCTTGAGCCTGGCCCAGTCCTAGTTGTTGAGGTCATCTGGGGAGTAAGCCAGCAGATAGAAAAGCCCCCCCCCCCTTTCTCCCTCTTTCTCTGTAACTGTGACATTCAAATAAATAAATATTTTTTAAAAAAGTTCATGGAAGAATGGAATTGGAAGATTCCACACACTTTCTGAAACACCCCTGAATAAGTCTATTAAGGGAGGAATTATGCATAGCTTGTCTTGCCCAAGAACATCCATGTGTCCTCCAAAAATATTATAAGCATACACAAACAAAATACAAAACGAATATAAAAAGAACGTTCTCCAAAGATATTCACAGTTAACGGCAGAGATGTACATGCCTACATGTGCAACAGTATACACCAATTTTTACAGAAAGTAGTCCTTAGAAGCACCAGCTATCCTGCTGTCTCTTAATGTAAGAGTGAGGAACGCCAATTTTTATACTTGATCTTAGCCAAAAGGCCGAGAAGTGATGGGAATGCCAATTTTCACATTGGCTATCATATATGATACTAAATCCTGGCCCTGATCACGTACATTAGTATATGCCACACTTGGAAAGTGTGTTCGATGAAGGAGCTGTAAAGACAGAAAATGCCTATATTTCACAAATGACACTGGCATGACCAGCAGTAAGTTGTCTAACATTTAACTAACCATTTTTCGGTGGACGGCAATGATGTAGCCTGTAAAGGGGTTGTCAGGAAGAGACGGCATATGACCATTCACCATTCCATTTGTGAAGTTCTTTTCAGTCCCACATGGTACAACAGTGTTTGGCATTCCATTGGGGATGAAGATTGGTCGGGGCAGATCCCCATTGGTAGTTAGGGTGAATATGCCATTTGTAGATGGGGAAGAGGAGAAATCTACAAATTCAAAGATAAGTAACGTATGATAAGCTTGTGGTACCTTCACCTTAGTTCTTCTGTCAAGTATCCTGAGGCCTGAACCACACTGACAGTACTGTCTCTTAACACAGCATTGGGAAAAACTATAGTTAAAATAATAATTGTAAATTTACTGGAAGATTCATTTTCAGAATTCACTGCCACTATGATTAAATGGCAAAGCACAGTAACTTCTGGAAACTGTTAAGGAGAATTTGCAAAAACCTATATTAGTACCATCTTATAGCACAAAGACAGCTCTAAAACTTTTCTTTTTCCTGTCCTCTAAAAATGCATTTCTCCATTCCTCTAAAAATGCTCTAATATAGTAGCCTCTAGTCAAATGGTTTTTAAATGAAAATTAAATTAAAATTGTATTCCCTCAACCTCACTGGTCACAGCCCAAGTGTTCAGTGCCCACGTGACTGCTGGATACTGTACCAGATGGCAAATATCACAGACAGTTTTCCTCACTGAGTTCTACTGCAGAGTGACGTTCCAAACAGAAAGCAACATTACACAGCTACCCATCAGCCATCAGTACCATTTGCTAAATACAGTGAGAGGAGTCTCATTTCTGTGAAGCCCTTTATGGTTCTGAATCAACCTAATATAAGCAGTAAAAAGAAGAACAGACAAAGCACTAATACTGGTTGAAAGGATTTACCAAATGACCGTATTAAATCATATGTGATTTTTTATACACAGATTCCTTTTCAATTATATTTATTGTTTTTATTTACTGGTGGCGTGTTCCTCTCACACCATCTGTTTCATATTAATATTAGATAAATGAGCTAAAAGAGGTCTGAATTCCAATGGTATTTTAGGTAAAAACAACTGATCTTAGTCACTTAGGTTCTTTGATATTTAGGTTCCTTATCTATTAAGTGAGGATTATGAGCCAAATGACCAGTAAGGTTTCCTTTGTGTTCCAAAATTCTCTTGTTCTTGTATCCTTGGCACAAATATAAAAATGATGAAAACCCTTGGGCCAACACTTAAAGCTGAGATCAGGAGAAGAAGCACTAGTTCCACCTTACCTGTCTGTACTGGACTGGAAGCAGAAACTGGAGAAGCAGGGATAGGGATTTCAAATGCACACAAAAATCCACTCACTGACAGTCGTACTTTTTGGTTGTCCTGAGGGAAGTTCTACAAAAAAGAGGAAAGATGAAAAGGTAGAGATGTTTCAGATAAATGTTTTATTAAAGATTTATTTTTTTGAAATGCAGAGTGACAGAGAAAGAAGCAGAAATAGTGAATCAAAGAGATTTTCCTTCTGCTGCTTTATTCCCCAAATAGTCACAATGGTCCAGGGTTGGGCCAGGCTGAAGCTAGAAGCCAGGAACCCTATCTGGATCTCTCCCAACATGGCTGGCAGGACCCCAAGTGCTTGGGCCATCTTCTGCTGCTTTCCCAGGTGCATAAGCAGGGAGCTGGATCAGAAGTATAACAGCTAGGACCAGAACTCACTATACCACAATGCCAGTCCCTCAGATAAATCTGACAAATTCTCTCTCTGATACACAATGGAAGAGAATGACTTAGAGAGTGACTTTCATCATGAAACAGTAAGATTGAATAATCTTTCAACTAAAATTATGGTCTTGATAAAAATAACTGAAATTTAACCTCAATGTCAAAGAAAACCATTACTTCTTCCCTACTGTCTATGATTGACAAGCTTTGTTATTTGTTTCAAGCATCTGAACTCCAGACCCTCAAAGAGATGTCACACTCACATTTCAGATGAAGGAAGAAATGTCAGTGAGGTAGATTTTAAAGGGCAAGTGCTGTGGTGCAGCTGGTTAACGCCCTGGCCTGAGTGCTGGCATCCCATATGGGCACTGGTTTGAGACCCAGCTGCTCCACTTCCGATCCAGCTCTCTGCTATGGCCTGGGAAAGCAATATGGCCCAAGTGCTTGGGCCCCTGCACCCACATGGGAGACCCAGAGGAAGCTCCTGGCTTCGGATTGGTGCAGCTCCGGCTGTTGCGGCCATCTGGGGAGTAAACTAGCAGATGGAGGGCCTTTCTCTCTGTCTCTCTGTCTCTACCTCTCTCTGCCTCTCCTTTCTCTGTATAACTCTTTCAGATAAATAAATAAATCTTAAAAAAAAAAAAGAAACCCCAATAATAAATAATACCAACAGAAGAAGCTAAGTTTGAGGTGGATGATATCTTTATTAAATTGTTTATATGCAGGAAGATGTGATTTGTGTGATTTTGCCTTTACTCTTTAATTTTGTAGTGTGATTAAAGGCCGAGAACGTACAACTAACACTTGGTATCTATAGAGGACTGATTCCAGGACTCCAAACTCTGCAGGTGTTCAAATATCCTACATAAAATGGTGCAGTATTTGCATATAACCTATGCACATCTTCCTGTATACTTGAAACTATTTCTAGATTATGGGCAATACCCAATACATTGCAAAATGATAGGCAAATAGTTACAGTACATTGTTTACGGAGTAATGACAAGGAAAATAAGCCTACATATGTTTATAACATCTCTTTTTTCTTTCTTCCCCCAATTTTTTGAGCCATAATTGGTTAAATCCACAGATACAGAATCCAAGAATAGAGAGGGCTATTTGTATACTCATAAATACTAAAAACACACATTTATAAATACATAAAATAATTAAATTAGGATGACTTCTAGTGAGAGTACAGTGCAGAAGAGTGCTCATGTGCAGTTGGGGGAAACTTATACCATAGTGAAACAGCTAGATCACTCCATACAGGCAGTTTTGCCTTTCAAATAATAAATAAATAAGTCTTTTAAAAATCATCATCATTATTATTCCTTTATTCTGGCAGACAACCTTTTAAATTTCTGGGTTAGAAAACAAATGGTGCTGGGAAAATTGGATCTCCGCCTGCAGAAGTATGAAACAAGACCCCTACCTTACATCTTATACAAAAATCAACTCAAAATGGATCAAGGATCTGAATCTATGACCTGATACCATCAAATTCCTAGAGGAGAACATTGGGGAAACTGCAAGACATTAGCACAGGTAAAGAGTTCTTGGAAAAGATCCCAGAAGCACAAGCAATCAAAGCCAAAATAGACAAGTAGGGTCATATCAAGCTAAGAAGCTTCTTTACTGGAAAAAGAATATTCAGCAAAGTGATGAGACCACTGACAGAACGGGAGAAAATATTTGCAAACCATAAAACTGATAAAGGATTAATATCTAGAATCTATAAAAAGCTCAAGAAACTCAAAAACAAAACAAATAATCCACTTAAGAAATGAGCAAAGGACTTGAATAGGCACTTTTCAAAACAGAAAATTCAAATGGCCAACAGACACATGAAAAGATGTTCCAGATCATTAGCCACCAGGGAAATGCAAATCAAAACCACAATGAGGTTTTTCACCTTCACCCCAGTTAAAAAGGCTCTCACATAAAAATCAACAAACAATAAATGCTGGTGAGGATGTGGGGGAAAGGTACCCTACTCCACAGCTGGTAGGAATGTAAACTAGTACAACCATTGTGGAAGACAGTATGGAGGTATCTCAGAAAGGTAAAAATAGATACATCATATGATCCAGCAATCCCACTCCTGGGAATTTACCCAAGGGAAATGAAATCAGCATATGAAAGAGTTATCTGTACCTCCAAGTTAATTGCAGTTCAATTCACAATAGCTAAGATATGGAATCAACCCAGATGTCCATCAACTGATGACTAGATAAAGAAATTACGGTACATATACACTATGGAACAATACTCAGTTGTAAAAAAAAAAACCAATATTCTGGTTTTTTGCAAGAAAATGAATGCAATTGGAAACTATTACACTTAATGAAATAAGCCAGTCCCAAAAAGACAAATAACGTATGTTTACCTTGATCTGTGGTAACTAAGAGTACCAAAAATGTAACGTATAGGAGTGAAATGGACAGCCTGAGCTTTGATGATTGTTTATAGCCCTTGTCTCTACTGTTGACAAATGGTGTTTTTTTCTTCTTACTATTTGTTGACCTCCTTACTTAGCGTAGGGTTAGTTTTATGAGTATAAAACTAAAATGAAAGTAGATCATTGTAAAATTAAGAGAAGGAATGAGAGGAAGTAGGAGGAAGGGCAGGTGCATGGGCAGGAGGGTGGGTAGGGTGGGAAGTATCAACATGTTCCTAAATATGCATATATGAAATACATGAGACTTGTATACCTTAAGTGAAATTTAAAAAAAAATAAAACTAGACAATATCTTTTTGTTTGGGTTTAGTTTTGAACTAACAAGTAGTAATAATTGAGAAAACTGATCTGTGAAGGATAGAATCAGAGGTATCCTAGGGAGAGCACAGCAGAGCAGATGACATTACCTTTATGTTGGAACTGTGTACTTCTGCAAGAAGGATTTGTTCTGGCTTAAGTCCACAGAGATCACTCAGCTGTTTTTTCAAACCAGTGTACTTTTCATCCATATTTAGCCTTAGTCCATATCGTACGGGAGTTGTACCATCTAACTTAATTACTAGTAAAGAGAAAATATCTTTTATCAGTAAAATTCAGGTTTTGTTGAAAGTCTTACAAACTGGATGTGGATGTATGTTTGAAATTAAAAAAAGAATCAACAAAACGGGCTCATGTTCCAAATCTTGCAAATTTCAAATCATACCACCAACTAGTCTGCTAGATTATAACATACTGATGAACAATCCTTATGCGAACCCATTAAAAATAAACAATCATACTTGTAAATTTAGGCTGTTTTAATGAGGTAAAAGAAAATGGAATCCAGTAATACTTCACGACTTTGTTACTCACCTGTTATTTCTAAGTGCATGTAACTGTCCATTGGTAGTGGCAAAGACAAAAAATTGAAGGGATCAAATCGGACACTTATATGCCCACACGTTTTACATTTGACTTGGGATCTTAGCTGCCCATGAAACAAATCCACAACAATTGATCGATTTCTCCTCAGATGGTTGTCCCAGGCCTAGCAAGAAAAAACATGACAAAATATTTTTCAAAATTCAAAAGATAAGAATTTCTACATAAATCCAAAGGGATTAGTTAAATGATTAGATCTAAATGTCAAGGAATAAACCTTAATATTCATTTAAAATATAAGATCTTTCTACCTTTAAATGTATAACTTAAATATAGAATTTAAAATGTACTAAATAGAGAGCAGAGAAAACCAGTTATGGAATCAAACCTAATTCTTTCTGAGCAATCTGTAAAATATTAAATTCAGATGGAAAATCCTATTTTTCATTTCTTCTGGCCATGCTAACAATCTTGAAGATTAAAGTTCTTTGTTATAAAGCAGATAAAATATGCTTATAGGAACAGAGGAGCTGTTAAACTCCAAATACAGAAAATGTAAGGAAATGGAAAGAGTATAATCGGTTTATGCTGTGTTTATGTGTTGCAATATTGCACTGTACTCCTTAAAAATGTACAAATACTACATGTTAATCCAAAATGTGAAAAGAGGAAAAAAAATCTTTAGCAAAAACCCCACCAAAATATGTCCACTGCACATTACTGTAGCAGTTAGGGGAATGAGGACTCTAAATTCTGCTGGATAATTACTCCTGCTTCCTATCATACAAAGTTTAAAACATGAAAAGGCATTATTTTTCTATTTTCATTTAAAGTACTTTTCTTTTGGTATTATAGCATAGGAATTAAGCCCAGATAAGTAAATTCCTCACAGAATTCATACAATTCTGGTCACAGAATAATTTAGTTTGCACTTAATTTATGTTACACATATTTGTGGTCAGAATGTTACACTGACAAACCAGGGCCAGCATTGTGGTACAATGGGTAAAGCTGCCACCTATAATGCTGGCGTTCCATATGGGTACTGCTTTGTGTCCCAGCTGCTTCACTTCCGGTCCAGCTTCCTGTTAATGACCTGGGAATAGCACGGAGGATGGCTCAAGTGCCTCGGCCCCTGGAACCTATATGGGAGACCTGGAAGAAGCTCCTGGCTCCTGACTTCTGCCTGGCCCAGCCCCAGGCCATTGCGACCATCTGGAGAGTGAACCAGTGGGTGGAAGACCACTCTGTCTGTCTCTCCTTCTCTCTAACTCTGCCTTTCAAATAAATAAAATGTCTTTAATAAACAACAACAACAACAAAACTGACAAACCTCTGCAGCTACTTCCCAATCTGGCCGGCCATCACTGTCCTTCAGTTCTACATATGGCTTCTCATGGACTCGGTTCAGATCTTCATGAAGACCATCCAAAAGAAAAGCCAAAAGTTCTTGGGAGTCTTGTTGTTGGAACCCATTAAACCTGGGAGCATACTTCGCTATTGTCCACTATAAACATAAGAGAAGTCATGGCTGTTATTTCCTACCCCATAAAATTTGTGATGCACATGCCTTATAAATGAATCAGAGAGTGCATAATCAAGTAAGTAACTTAGTAGTCTGTCTCTATTTCAGCAAGTGTTTTGGATAATCACAAAATCTTTTTAATTTTTATCTCAAATAATCAAAAAGAAAAACACTGGCTAATTTTGACGTGTCAGCATCATATAAGCAAACAGTTCTTCAAGCACACAGATGTTAAGACAGAAATAATAAAATAGCATTTGTTCACACTGAGAGACTTCCTGTTCTACATAATGTTTCCTTACTCAGTTTCCTTTTCTGGTTTTGTCATAGGCTTTTATTTCAAGAGTCAGAGCAGTGACTATGAGGACCATGAGGACTAAGCACTAAGGACTAAGCCATCTAAGCACTTTGAGTCTTAGTTTCTTCAGCCACAAAACAGAGATAGTAATGTTGAAATACAGTCTAGGACTAATAAGAGAACTAAATGGGTGGTAAGTCATCAAATTTTTAGCTTTTATGATTATTAATTTTTAACCTAAAAAACTTTCACCTTGTTTTAAAACAGATAATACTCCTAACTTCACAGCTTCACTAAAATCTACTTCATATATGCCATTAATTTAAAACTTGCAGCCATTAAGTACATTCTTTCCTCCTGTTACTTTTTTATTTTCTTCAGATGCTGCTGTAAATGCTGGGTATATCTGGAATGAACTGTGCAGTTAGTTATCACTAACAGTGAAGGATTCCCAAATAAAGTTTACTCTTTATATAACGAAGACATTTGATACATTAGTAAAATGAACAACATTCCAAATTTAAACTATGCCTTTGGTCTTTTTGACATACTACATATTAAGAGCACTTCAAAAAGTTCATGGAAAATGGAATAAAAAGACAAGTTCATTTTAGTGAAAGTATTTGAGGAGCCAGTTTGTGTCCTGGCTACTCTTCTGATCGAGCTCTCTGCTTATGGCCTGGGAAAGCAGTGGAAAATGACCCAAGTATTTGGGCTCCTGCACCAGCATGGGAGACCAGAAAAAAGCTCCTGGCTCCTGGCTTTAGATCAGCCCAGCTCTGGTGGTTGCAGCCATTTTGGGATTGATCCAGTGGATGGAAGATCTTTCTCTGTGTCTCTCCCCTACCCCTCTCTGTAACTCTGCCTCTCAAATAAATTAATAAAATCTTAAAAAGTTTTTTGGGGCCGGCGCTGTGGCATAGCAGGTAAAGCTGCCGCCTGCAGTGCCAGCATACCATATGGGCCCCGGTTCAAGTCCCAGCTGCTCCACTTCTGATTCAGCTCTCTGCTATGGTCTGGGAAAGCAGCAGAAGATGGCCCAAGTCCTTGGACCCTTGCACCTGCAGGGGAGACCCATAGGAAGTTCCTGGTTCCTGGCTTTGAATCGGCACAGATCTGGCCAATGTGGCCACTGAAGAGTGAACCAGTGGATGGAAGACTTCTCTCTATCTCTGCCTCTGCCTCTCTGAAACTCTGCCTTTCAAATAAATAAGTAAATAAATATTTTTTAAAAAAGTTTTTGAAATCCATGCAGTTTTTTCATAATATGCATTTTTCCATGAACTTTTAGAAGACCCTCTGTATACAGCAGTGTTTTGTATATATATATTGACATATCAAAGTATTTGACATCTGGACCCCAAAACATTTATTTAACTAAACTAAAAAGCTAAGCAGAAAAAGCATGTAGAGAAAAATGATTCCTTCAACAACTGTTTAGAAATTAAATACTTTAACGTTATTTTAACTTACTTACCCGAAGCTTTAATGGAGCAACGTTCTTCTGGGTCCCACTCCAGAGCTCCTGTACTAAATCACCATAGCATTTAGCCATATGCCCCTTCATGCCGATGGGATTGGTTCTAGAAGTTTGAGAGGAAAATTTGTTACCAAACAGTCTCATAAATCACAATCTTCTGGACAGAGAGATGTCCAGCATCTCACATCAAATTAATTATCTTTTCTTTCTGAAATAAAGGAAGTATCCCTTAGGCCTTATTTCATACTAAATAGGGCTATAAGACTTTCCTGGCTCAGAGTAAAGAAAAAGGAGATTTAGGCGACACTGGTTCATACCAATGTCACAGAAGGTTAAGGGGCCAACAGTTCAAAAGTGATTACCTGTTGAGTTCATAAAGATGTCTCCCTGAGATAAAATACTGTGTCAGTGGCTGTGTGTTACTAACGCACTGTATGCTAGAGTTCATGAAGCATGTATTTCCCAGGTTACTCAGACCTGTGGCTCCCTTTTCTGTTGGAACTGGAACAAAAAATGTGAGAATCAATGCTGAGCTGTAGGAATATTTAAACAACAAACAGTATCTTCGTTCAATGCAGTGAGTTTTATAACTCTTTTAATCAGCTAAAGGGAGCTAATCTTTTTTTTAGCAGGTCTCTCAAATGCTAAAGTTGAGAAGGTCTAGCATGGAATCTCTGGCAATAACGATGATGCATGCTCATTTGTAATTCAGAAGCAGTAATTATCTAATTTCTAGGATTTTTTTTTTTTTTGACAGGCAGAGTGGACAGTGAGAGAGAGAGACAGAGAGAAAGGTCTTCCTTTTGCCATTGGTTCACCCTCCAATGGCCGCCGCGGCTGGCGCGCTGCGGCCGGCGCACCGCGCTGATCCGATGGCAGGAGCCAGGAGCCAGGTGCTTTTCCTGGTCTCCCATGGGATGCAGGGCCCAAGCACCTGGGCCATCCTCCACTGCACTCCCTGGCCACAGCAGAGAGCTGGCCTGGAAGAGGGGCAACCGGGACAGAATCCGGCGCCCCAACCGGGACTAGAACCCGGTGTGTCGGCGCCGCTAGGCGGAGGATTAGCCTAGTGAGCCGCGGCGCCGGCAATTTCTAGGATTTTTTAAAAAAGAATTCAAACAATTATTTTCCTAGAATGTTTCAAAGAAATTTAAACTATTTAATTGCAGAGTTAGAAATTTAGAAAATAGGCCGAGCATGGCTCACTAGGCTAATCCTCTGCCTGCAGTACCAGCACCCGGGGTTCTAGTCCCGGTTGGGGCGCTGGTTCTGTCCCAGTTGCTCCTCTTCCAGTCCAGCTCTCTGCTGTGGCCCGGGAGTGCAGTGGAGGATGGCCCAAGTGCTTGGGCCCTGCACCTGCATGGGAGACCGGGAAAAAGCACCTGGCTCCTGGCTTTGGATCGGTGCAGCGCGCCGGCAATAGCAGCCATTTGGGGGGGTGAACCAACAGAAGGAAGACCTTTCTGTCTCTCTCTCACTGTCTAACTCTACCTATCAAAAAAAAAGAAATTTAGAAAATACTCTGATGTTGGGTTTATCAACAACAAAGGCTACTTCAAGAAAAAAGAACAAGAGAAGGTCTTAGTAACTTTTGAATTAGAAAAAGTTGTTAGCATTTCAATATCTGAAAGAATATATTTAAAACTGTCTCTTTAACAATAATATACTGGATACTTACCCTTGTGTCTATCTATTTTACTACTGTTCGCTATAAAAGACATTTCTTCTGGCCAACTCATATCTTTGTTGCGCACTGTAAAGAGAGATAGAAATGCGTTAATTTTCTATCTGCACAATTCAAAGCCACTCAGTTCCCTCTGCTTAAAAATTTCTGAATCAGACACACTCAATAAAAAAAAAAAAAGTTGATTTAAGTAATTGGCTCTGAAACCATTTCTATTCTTTGTATTGGTTAGAATAAGCTATTACTTCAATTACCTACTTAAAGTAAAATTATACCCTATCATCTATAAATGTAATTAAGCCTTAGGCACAAATTTCCAAATCTCAAACCATTAGAAATATTATAATTCTTCCTTAAATTGTAACCCTGTCAGAGTAATCTACTCAATTTAACACAAAGGCAGTTACCAGTACTTCCATGAATCTTGAAGAGAAAAGAAACACTGTCTAAACCTATGTGTGAATATACAAGCAGCTCTGTTGGTGAGCAGCCAGCACTGACGACTAATGAGACCTGTGTGCTACTAACTATCTCAGAAAGCTGATTTCTTTACTAAATCTCAAAGAAGCAGTCTGAAAATCCCAAGAAATTGTAATTTGTAACTGAATTCACTTGTTTTTAACCTTCTCACCTCTTGTTAGCCAATGACTACAAACAAGTTATTTTTCTTTTAAAGCAATCTACATAGTATGGGAAGATTATATAAAAACGCAGCGGGTTTTCTTTACCACAAAGAGAATAATTATCAAATAATAGCTTCCCTGGAAAAGATTATAAAATTATTAGTACCTTTTTAAATACTTCCACTAAGATTCCAACAGGAATGCTGATACATGCTCTCATTACGTACCCTCAATGACCAGGTGCTGTTCATCCTGGATTTTCAAATATTCCAATCTATGATCTTCATCATCCAGAAGAGTAAGGTAATTCTATTTAATAAGGAAGAGATCTTTTTGTTAATTTTGTTAGTAAACTGGAAGCAAATATAGAAGTAAAGAAGAATGATAATTAAAAACTTCCTTGCAGTTACATAACCCATTTCACAATTATTTGGGAAATTATAGTTGGCTAGCAGTGCTGAGCTACAAAACAAGGAAGATAACATGTGGTATATAAACATTCTATGTCCCTAAAACAAAATTACACACGACTGGGGGCAGAGACCAAGAAAAGATCCATCACACATAAAACTAAAATTTACTGAGAAAGATTTCCTGAAAAGTGCAGAAATTCTTTAGTATCCAGTTTGAAATTCAGTAAACGTTCTAAACAGAATTTGATTGCTTACTTAGGAACTGAAAATGCAGAACCAAGTACAAAATTAGTTCTTTTAATGCTCACAACAACTCTAAGGAGATACTATTATTTTCCCATTTTACTCATGAGAAAATTGAGGGGCAAAGATTAAGTGATTTGCCCTTAGTTATACAACTTAACAGTGGCAGAGCCAGGCATTTAATTCCTGGCAGTGTGATTCCGTGAACCATGCTCTTAAACGCTATGCAATACTGCCCCTCAGTGGTGACCAAAGGAAGAACACACAGGGGATAGAGATTGGTTAGCACTAAGGATCCAATTTCAGAGTATTATCTATAGCATATATGTTAAGCAATTAACAGCACTGTCTCTGAGAAGAGGTAATAGAGGCTAGGGTATGGGAAGGAGAATGTTCCACTGTATATTCCTGTATTGTATGAATTTTTTAGCACCCATATAAACTACTTTAACTCAGGTGACAATGATTTACATGTATGCATACATGAATTTGAAAGTTAAAATTTTCACTGAGATCTTAGACATACATGGCTTTTAGTATAATTACTACAGAGAAAAAAAAAACCCACACTCATGAAACTTGATTTAACCATCAGACTCTTCATGACACTGAGATACCTCTTACCTCACTGTTGTATAGCCACAGGCGCATGTCTTCCTCTTTGATGCGCAGCCTTTGAGACAAATATTCATGAATTTCCTTGATGGTCTGCATTCGACTAAAACAGCCTGTATAGGCTAATACTCGCTTTAAAGGTGCATTCGGAGAAGGTACATTTCCTACGGTTGTAGTAATCACAATAAGGAAAAAGGCAGATGTAAAAAAAGGCACCCTTCTCAGCAATGGAGTCCATGCTATTTTGGGAAATAATGTTAAGAAATGAGAATTACAGGTTTAATTTTATAAATGAAGAGTACCATTGAGTTTTTAAAATGAAGACAGGAGACTGAAGAGTCTTGAAGTCAGTCCAAAGTCTGAGCAACAAATGCCCAGAGCTTAAATGATTGGCAATATTTAGATCCCAAGGAGAGTGGGGACCCACTGGCAAATGACTGGCAATGGTCAATGGCTGCCCTCAGTTAGGTTACACTCGACAGCAAATGAAATAAAACCCTGAGTAAGAATGAGGGGGAGGCAGGGGCTGGACAAAAAAGTATTAAAAAAAAAAAAAAAAGAGTTGCGGGGGAATAAAATGGGACCAGTTTTGAATGCCATAGATAGATAATTGGGTTCTTCTGATCTACTTTCTTAAAATAAACAGCCTTAGAATTCCTAATCCCATCACTGTCAGTCATTAAGTGGCCCAATTATTTGGCACACTGGTACAATTATACAAGAAAAGAAAATGTGACTTAATATCTTCTACACAGCCAAATACAGTTCCAAAATGAAGCCAAGAAAATTCCCATGGTAACATAAATAAGTAAACAGATAGTCTTATTGCAAAGGAGTAGGGTGAAAGAAGTCACATAATCTGTCAGGCTAATAACAGCACAGCAGACATGACCTAGAATTCCTGAAGGGCCAAAGGTGGAAACAGAAAAGTGGCAATAGAGTCATCCCTCAGTACTGCAGGAGCCCGGGTCTAGGACCCCTACTTCCAAGAATACCAGCACCCAGAGATGCTCAATCCCTTACACAAAATGGGTAGTACTTGATTTAACTCAGACTCATCCTCCCATATACTTTAAATCATCTCCAGATCAGTAATAGTGTCTTTCACAAAGTAAATACTATATAAATAGCTTCTATTCTGTATTCTTTAGCAAACAATGACAAGAAAGAGGACTCTACATGTTCAGTACAGATATCGTTTTTTATAAAACATTTTCCATTCAAGGTTGGTTGATCCTCTGGATGCTTAACCTGCACACAGAGGGCTAACTATACAGGGAGGAAAAGGAGAAGAGTGAAGGAAGAATATATCCAGAGTAACTCATATTTCAAAAGAGGAAGAGGGGGCCAGCATCCCATATGGGTGCCAGTTTGTGTCCCGGCTGCTTCTCTTCCAATCTAGCTCTCTGCTTTGGCCTGGGAAAACAGTGGAAGATGGCGCAAGTGCTTGGATCCCTGCACCCATGTGAGAGACCCGGAAGAAACTCCTGGCTCCTGGCTTTGGATTGGCCCAGTTCTGGCCGTTGCAGCCATTTGGGGAGTGAACCAGCAGATGGATCTCTTTCTGTCTTTCCCTCTCTCTGTCTGTAACTCTGCCTCTCAAATAAATAAACATTTTTTAAAAAAGAGGAAGGGGATAAAAAGAGTATAAAAATCAAAAAAAAGTTTGCTAAGAACAAAAATAAAAACAAACTTGTTAAAACCCAGAAAACTAACTATTCAGTGAAAAATCTCAACAAAGCTGTACCTTAAATGGTCACCTTTGGCTATATATAGAAGGCTGTATTTTATTAAGCAGCCTCAATGAAAATGATGAACTTTTGTAACACAGTGTTTTTAGGATATAAACATACATTCCAGGTAGTTTTCCAGCCAGTCAGTGGTGACTTATCTTCTTCCTCCCATTAAATGTGCTTTTATAAGTTTTCATTTACTAAATAAGCAGATAAAAATATTGGCAACATCAGCTTTTTAAAGCTTCCAAGAAGAATTCACTCACCTAATCCTGGCTGAAAATTATCTAAGGAATAATGACTTCTGTAGCCTTGTCTTTAGAAAAAGCCACAATGAAGTCATGGTAACTGTGGCAAGGTTTACTTCAAAAGGAAAACAGAACCTTAATAAACAGCTATGGTAAACTGAGTAATTGAGAAAGATGAATATTATGTAATGACAGAACAAAACTTAACCATGATCAGTTTTTAAATGCACAGCAAAGCAAATTTTTTTACTATGAGCAAGCAAAAGATAATCTCTAAAAGAGCAAATTTATCTAATTACACATCAGAGGATTAGTCATAAGATTACAGCAAGAAAGCATATTTTTATAAACTTCAAAATGATTAATGATTGATTTCACAGTTAATTAGTAAGGAATAAAATTTCAAATTAAGAACAAATTTGGAGCATCAGAACTACCCCATTCTAGGATTCAGAAGCATTTGCAAGTATAGTGTCCAAGTCAATCTCTATTGTCCTAAGCCACAATAAGAAACTTTTTGAGTTCTAGATAGTTTTTACAGCAAGCTCATTAAACAGGCAGCCACTTATTACCAATAATTGTGTGCTTTTGAATGGCACCAACAAATCTAGTTGAATTTACAGAAGCAACAAAAATCTAGATCGGCACAGGAGTTACAAAGAATACTTACTAAAAGCGCAACAACACATCTTGCCTTTCATGTTATCTTTCAAAGAGAATCAAGAAAGACATATGCTATGGGTGCCCATGAAATCAAGGCTAATACTTTTATTTACTGGAAAATTATATCAAAAATTTTCAAAGTAATTCTATATTTCAATGTTCATTGATGTTCTCCCCAAAGATCGAGTTTTGGTTAGGCAGAGGCCACTAAGTTGTTATAATTTCTCACTAAACAATATGCAAAAGGATATTCATATATTATCAGAATATAACCTTTGGGGAATACAAAATTAACTCTATTTAAATTTAAAGGTAGCATATTACTTACAAAGGGTTGGTTTGGGCTCAGAAGTAGTTCCCGTTTATTAAGTTACACAAACTACAGTAACACACAGTCTGAGACAGTGTAAATGAATGAACTCACTATTTCTTTACTGCTGAAGAACAATTTCAAATATATGCAAGGCAAAAACATACAGCAAGGCTCATCCATCAGTAACATTTTCTCTTACAGAGAAATCAAAATAAAACTTTTTGTATACTATACATTAAAATAGGAACTTTGCATGTCTTATAAATTTGATGTTTTTTGGGGTCAATGTGTCAATTTCATTTTCAAAAACATATCCTTTACTCTATATTACCTATTTATTTAAAAGCCTCCTTAGATTTAGCACAAGAAATATAACATTTTTTGCCAAACAAAACTCAAAGAAACAAATACAAATCATTATATGCCATAGGATCACTTTTAAAATAAATTTTAGTGGAACTGAAAAGACCCGTCTAAAGCTAGCAAACTACAGTTTGGGTCTACAATTTACAATGGCTTACTTCAAAGATATAAAGCATATAAAATCCACTCCAATTAATTACTTTCCTAAGTTTACAAACTAGAAAAGGAAACAATTCTTATCAGTTTGCTGCTGGGTTTGCTTCTACCCCCATGTGTGGTTTTGCACATAATGTTGATCTAAGCCTTATAAGTGATTTACTGATTTGGATCAAAGTAGGTGGGACTGTGAATTAGTACAGTGGCATCAGACTTAGAGCAACTTGGTTTCACTATGGCTTTAAAAAATTTTTTAAAGTAAATTCATAGTATTCTTGCTGCATTCTTAAGTTACCTCTCGGTAAATGCTGAGGAAACATTCTCAGGCTCATCATACCCATATTCACCCAGATGTTAGACTGCTGTGTCCGAGTGGCAGGCTGCTGTCTCAGGAAGAGAAGGTAGCGAGGAAATAATTCCAGCTCTGGGATATCTGTCTTGCTATTCTTGATCACCTGTTATTTTACAATATAAAAGTAATTACTCTAAAAGAAGAAACAAAGATTGCCATTATAATGTAATGAGATTTACCACTCCACTAAAATCCTTGACCAGTCATTACCTATTTTTTCATAGTACTGAAACTCATGAGTATATTTAAGTTACATGGACTTGAATACTCTCAGGTTCCTGTTCCTAAAATTATGTTCCAAGAATAGAACTTTTTGTGTGTATCTTCTATATTTAAACTTAAAAGCAAGCAACAATAAAAATTAAGGGGGAAAAAGCTTCAGTATTATCTTACCGTATCTTACCCTCTTCACTTTTATATGTCATGTATATAAATGATTTTCTGAGGACATATTCACAGAGTTGGCGTTAAATAAGTCAAAAAGCATGGAAGTGGAGGTGTTCATGTCTGCAACTACAGAGCCATGCTACCACCCAAAGGTTAGCCATCTACACTATTTCCATAATATACAATTATTCTGTGCTCACAAAACTTTATCATTGGACACTACTTAGATACATTCCCATTTCTTTAATACATATAATTGTAAATTTGCTTCAACTTTTCTTTTTTAAAAATATTATTCTGTAGTTTTCTAATTTTTTAAAAAAGATTTACTTATCTGAATTAGAGAGAGAGAGAGAGACAGCACTTGGGTCATCTTCCATTGCTTTCCCAGGCTATTAGCAGAGAGCTGGATTGGAAGTGGAGCAGCAGGGACCTGAACTGGAGCCCTTATAGGATGCTAGTGTCACAGGTGGTGGCTTTACCCATTATGCCACGATACTGGCCCTTCAACATTTTTTTTGGTATTAGTAGTGAGGATAAAACTATTTTTAAATAAAAATTTATTCTCTGTTCTACTTCTACAATGGGTCTGTTCCTGTATTTTTTTTTTCTGTGATTAAAAACGAAACTGGAAGTATAAACCGATGTTACACATTGTTGGAATAGGATTTTCAAGCCGCTCCCTCAAAATTACCTGCTTTTCAGTCCACAGACACAGGAAATCACCTGCTTACCAAAATATTATTTAGAAGTAGCATGTTAGCAATTTTATATTGCAAAAGGATAGCAGCATAAACATCTAAACTATTTTTATTTAAGTATTTATTTATTTGAAAGGCAGAGTTACAGAGAGAGAAGGAGAGACAAAGAGAGAGAGAGAGGTTGGTTCACTCCCCAAATGGCCACAACAGCCAGGGCTGGGCTAGACTGAGGCTATGAGCATCTTCCAGATCTCCCATGTGGGTGTAGGGGCCCAAGGACTTGGGCCATACTGTGCCACTTTCCCAGGTGCGTTAGCAGGGAGCTGGATCAGATGTGGAGCAGTATCCCCAAACGGGATGCTGGCACTGCAGTCCATGGCTTTAAACCAATGCGCCACAGTGACAGTCCCAATACTTAAACTCTTTAGAACAGATCCTACAGGGGGTTAGATTTTTTTTTTTTTTTCGACAGGCAGAGTGGACAGTGAGAGAGAGAGAGACAGAGAGAAAGGTCTTCCTTTTGCTGTTGGTTCACCCTCCAATGGCCGCTGCAGCCGGTGCGCTGCGGCCGGCGCATGGTGCTGATTCCAAGCTAGGAGCCAGGTGCTTCTCCTGGTCTCCCATGGGGTGCAGGGCCCAAGCACTTGGGCCATCCTCCACTGCACTCCCAGGCCACAGCAGAGAGCTGGCCTGGAAGAAGGGCAACCGGGACAGAATTCGGCGCCCTGACAGGGACAAGGTGGAGGATTAGCCTATTGAGCCGTGGCACCAGCTCGGTGGTTAGATTTTATTTCCTCGTAACCAAGGTCTTCTGCAATGTAACTTTTTTTTTTTTTTTAATTTGAAAGGCAGAAAGACAAAGAAAGAGATAGAGAGTGCTTTTCCATTCACTGATTCACTCTTCAAATGCCCTCGATAGTGGGAATCAACTCGGAACTACCATGTGAGCACAGGAATCCAATTACTTGAGCCATCACCACTGTTTCCCAGTATCCACATTAGCAAGAACCTGAGCCAGGTATTAAACTCAAATACTCTTGATATGGGATGTAGATATCTTAAATGGCATATTAACCACTAAGCTAAACGTCCACACCAAGAGAGTATTTTTCATTACCCCCTCCCAAGATTTATTTATTTATTTGAAAGCCAAAGTTGCAGAGAGAAGAGGAGAGACAGAGAGATCTTCCATCTGCTGATTCATTCCCTAGATGGCTGCAACAGCCAGAGCTGACCCAGGCCAAATCCAGGAGCCAGGAGCTTCATCCAGGTCTCCCACATGGGCCATCTTCATTATTTTTTCTCAGGCACATTAGCAGGAAACCAGATCAGAAATGGAGTAGCTGGGACTTGAAGTGGCACCAATATGGGATGCTAGCACTGCAGGTGGAATTCTTAGCTACTATGTTACAATGCTGGTTCCAAGCTTTTTTGCTGGTTCCAAGTTGTTTTTTTTTTTTTTTTTTGACAGGCAGAGTGGACAGTGAGAGAGAGAGAAACAGAGAGAAAGGTCTTCCTTTGCTGTTGGTTCACCCTCCAATGGCCGCCGTGGCCGGTGTGCTGCGGCAGGCGCATTGCGCTGATCCGAAGCCAGGAGCCAGGTGCCTCTCCTGGTCTCCCATGCGGGTGCAGGGCCCAATGACTTGGGCCATCCTCCACTGCACTCCCAGGCCACAGCAGAGAGCTGGCCTGGAAGAGGGGCAACCGGGACAGAATCCGGCGCCCCGACCGGGACTAGAACCCAGTGTGCTGGCGCCGCAGCCAGAGGATTAGCCCATTGAGCCGCGACGCCGGCCCAAGCATATTTTTTAAAAAAGGTCTTAATATTTAGTTATTATTATTGCTTGAAAGGCAGAAAGACAGAGCCAGCCTGCAATATCTTCTATCCACTGTTTCCGTCCCCAGTGTCTGCAATAGCTGGGGCTGAGCCAGGCCAAAGTTATGAGCCCAGAACTCAATCTGGGTCTCCCATGTGGGTGACAGGAACCCAACTATTTGAGTCATCACCACTGTTTCACCAGGTCCAAAATGGTAGGAAGCTGGAGTCAGGAGGCAGAGGCAGAGCTAGAGCTAGAGCTAGAGCTAGATATTAAACTTTGAAATGGGACACAGGTGCCTTAACTGGCATCTTAAATACTAGGCTAAATGTCTACTATGATAAAATTTTTTAAGTTTTATGTTTATATTTAATAAGACAACAGCTTTCAAAAATATTGATTATTTATTTGAAAGGGAGTATAACAGAGAGATCTTCCACTTGCTGGTGTACTCCCTAACACTCACAAAAGCTGGGGCTGAGCTAAAGCCAAAGTCAAAGCCAGAAACCTGGAACTCAGTCCAGGTCTCGGAAGTAGATGGCTGGAACCCAACTATGTGAGCCATCACCTGCCTCCCAAAGTACACATTAGCAGGAAACTGGATTGGAGGAGGAGTGGGGACTCAAACCCAGGCACTCTGATATGAGATGTGGGGTTTTTTTTTTTTTAAAGATCCATTTATTTATTTGAGAGACAAAATTACAGAAAGAGGTAGGCAGAGACAGAGAGAGGTCTTCCATCCGCTGGTTCACTCCCAAGATGGCCACAATGGCTGGAGAAGCGCAGATCCGAAGCCAGGAGCCAGGAGCTTCCTCCAGGTCTCCCACATGGGTGCAGGGGCCTAAGGACTTGGGCCATCTTCTACTGCTTTCCTAGGCCATAGCAGAGAGCCGGATCCAAAGTGGAATAGCCAGGACTTGAACCGGTACCCACATGGGATGCCGGCACTGCAGGCAGTGGCTACTCCTCTGCCAAACACCTGCCCTCAAAACAGAGTATTTTTTTTTGAAGGTTTATTTATTTATTTGGAAGGCAGAGTTAGAGAGGCAGAGAGAGAGAGAGAGAGAGAGAGAGAGAAAGGGAGAGAGCGAGCAAGCGAGCATGCATGCTGGTTCACTCCCCAAATGGCCACAATGGCAGCAGCTGGGCAGATCCAAAGCCAGGAGCCAGGAGCTTCTTAAGGATCTCCCATGAGGATACAGGGGCCAAAGGACTTGGGTCATCTTGTACTGCTTTCCCAGACCACAGCAGAGAGCTGGATGGGAAGTGGAACAGCCAGGACTCAAACTGGTGCCCATATGGCATGCTGACACTACAGGTGGCTCTATCCACTATGCCACAGCGGCAGCCCCAAAACAGTATTTTAACACTACAAGATGGACAATAAAGGATCAAATAAAAACACTACTACAAATCACAGTATTGCACGCATTCTGATAAATCATAACATAACATTTGAAAGACTCTATTTGGGAACATTTTAACTCCTACTTCAGTAGCATAAAAGCAACTTTTCCTGACATTCCTCTAAGACCACTGGAAGAAACAAAACCTGTGTGCCTTCCCAAACAGCAAGACACAGTGACGACTGCAAAGCCATCTACAATTTCTTAGGACTGCAATTTAAGTGTGATTTTCAGAAAGACTGATAATTTAGTATCTTTAGTTATCAGACTACATAAAAACATATCACCAGGAGAATCTCAATGGATAATTCAGTAATTTCTATAATACTTATCTTGCTTTTGAAGATAACAAGTGATTTTGTGAGCAAGAGCTTAACAAATTCTCTCTCTCTCTCACACACACACACATATATATATACACATTCATTTACATTTTAATTATCTTTGTCTATAAACTTGTAAATTTCAATAGTTCCCAGCAAACAACAGATGCAAAATAATCCCATCATATAAAACTATTCAGGTATAATCTTTACAGAAAAGAATGAACAATATGTATGAAATATGAGTATGACTTTTAATATAGTAATTCCACTTACAGGAATTTTCTTTTTTTATTTTTAAAGGTTTATTTACTTTTTTATTTTTTATTTGAAAGGTAGAATTAGAGAGAGAGAGAAAGAGAGAGGGGGAAAAATATCTTCCACCCACTGGTTCATTCCCCAAATAGCCTCAACAGCTTCTTTTGGATCTCCCATGTGAATACAGGGGCCCAAGCACTTGGGCCATTTTCTGCTGCTTTCCCAGGTGCATCAGCAGAGAGCTGAATTAGAAGTAGAGCAGCCAGGACAAGAACTGGAGCCTATATGGGAGGCTGGTGCTGCAGGCAGCAGCTGAACCTGTTATGCCACCCCAGGAATTTTCCTTAATCATCATAGAGATTTGGAAAGAGAATGTTCACCAGAAAATTGCTCCAAACAGATAAAAGCTAGAGGGAAATAAAATATCTATCATTAAAAATGATGGCACAAATCTAAATGTATTAACCTATAAAAATCCATGTGTCCATGTTCGTTTTAAAAACAGATCATGGCCGGCGCCGCGGCTCACTTGGCTAGTCCTCCGCCTGCGGCGCCAGCACCCCGGGTTCTGGTCCCAGTTGGGGCACCGGGTACTAGTCCCAATTGCTCCTCTTCCAGTCCAGCTCTCTGCTGTGGCCCAGGAGGGCAGCGGAGGATGGCCCAAGTCCTTGGGCCCCTGCACCCGCATGGGAGACTGGGAGGAAGCACCTGGCTCCTGGCTTTGGATCGGCACAGCCGCTGGCCATGACAGCCATTGGGGGAGTGAATCAACAGAAGGAAGACCTTTCTCTCTGTCTCTCTTTCACTGTCTATAACTCTACCTGTCAAAAAACAAAAACAGATCATACCAGCATTGTGGGACAGTGGGTTAAACTGCCACCTGTGACCCTGGCATCCCATATGAGCACCAGTTTGAGTCCTGGCTGTTCCACCTCTGATCCAGATCCCTGCTAATACATGCCTGCCACCAACATGGGAAATCTATATGGAGTTCCAGAATCCTGGCTTTGGCCTGACCCAGCCCTAGCTGTTGCAGCCATGTAGGGAGTGAACTAGTGGATGGAACCACATGCTCATGAGCTCTCTCACAGTCTCTAACTCTGCCTTTCAAATAAATAAAAAATCTTAAAAAAAAAAAATAGTAAAACATCAGGTATGTTGTGATTCAATTTCATAAAATTATCCACATATATCTATATATGTGTAAGTATACAGGAAGGTATAGAGAGATGCACACCAAAACACTAACTATAATTATCTCTAAGTTGAAGATGTGGCATGATTTTCACCTTTTTTTGTTCTATACTGCTTAACTTAACATCATTGATCATTTGTCCCAAGAACAAATAAAATAAAACTACTGTGGGGCCAGCGCTGTGGCGTAGCGGATAAGGCCACCACCTGCAGTGCCAGCATCCCATATGGGTGCCAGTTCGAGTCCCGGCTGCTCCACTTCCAATCCAGCTCTCTGCTATGGCCTGGGAAAGCAGTAGAAGATGGCCCAAGTCCTTGGGTCCCTGCACCCATGTGGGAGACCTGGAGGAAGTTCCTGCCTCCTGGCTTTGGGTCGGCGCAGCTCCGGCCGTTGCGGTCAATTGGGGAGTGAACCAGTGGATGGAAGACCTCTCTCTTTTTCTCTGCCTCTCTTTCCCTCTCTGTGTAACTCTTTTAAGTAAAATAAATAAATCTTAAAAAAAAATAAAAAAATAAAGCTACTCTGCAAAACAGTAGGATTTATCTAAGAGCGAAGGTAATAGAACTTATTTTTAATCTTGTCATGGCAAATACATTGATCACAAACACCAGATTCAAATGTTTTAAAAGCAATTTTTCCTAAAATCAGGTAAATTTATTGTATGTAGACATGAAGATAGACTAAGATGAAAATAGATGAAAAATAGTATTAAGTCAGCAAGTAAAGCATTAATTCAATAAAATTATGCTTCAACTACTATTTATCTCACATCCAAATAAAAAAATATGACCTCATAGGAGGCTCTGAAAGAATTCACTTAATAGTTGTTGATAATACTAATAACAGTCAACATTTACTGATCTCTTACCATGAATAAGATAATATGCTAACCATATGTGTTTTTTAATTTCAAAAACACTCTAATGAGGTAGGTCAAATTATTCCCATTTTATAAATGAAAAAACGGGAACACCAGGAATCTGAATTCAAGCAGGCTCCAAAACACTGAAATTTATGTTTTGAAGAAGGGAATTCAAAAAGCTTAAGGAAAATTCACAGTATCTATTTTTAAATATTTACTTACTTATTTGAAAGGCAGAGCAACAGAGGAAGAAAACGAGACTGAAAGAGGATAGACAGAGAGACAGAGGGATCTTCCATATGCTGGTTCACTCCCAAATTACAACAACTGGACTGGGCCAGGCCAAAGCCCCAGGATCCCAGAACTCCATCTGGATCTCCTATGTAGGTGGAAGTGGCCCAAGTACAAGGGGCATCTTCTGCTACCATTCCAGGGTGCATGTTAGCAGGAAGATAGATTGGAAGCAGAGTATTTGGGGCTTGAATATGAAGGGTTGGTATCACAAGCAGCAGCTTAACCCACTGTCGTCACAATGGCAGCCACACACAGTATCTACTTTTAAAAATTATTTGTTTATTTGAGAGGCATTAGAGATACAGAGAAGGAGAGACAGAGAGATCCCATCTGCTGGTTCTTCCCCAAATGCCTGTGATGACCAGGTTGAACTTGAGAGCCCAAACCCAACCAGGCCTTCCTTATATGTGTTACGAACCTTATTACTTGAGCCATTACCACTGTCTCCCAGGGTCTGCATTAGCAGGAAGGTGGAGTTAAGGGCCAGAAGTAAGCATCATATCCACATCCAATGTGGTATATAAATGTCTTGCAGGATACAAACATCTGGCTCCCACATAATCTTTCAATTCAATTCTTCCATAAACTTTTGAAGATCCATCATTCATGAAATATGACACAGTATTTACCTTACAGACATGGAAGATTAAAACAGATAGAAAATTGGAATTGTGTTGTGGTGCAATGGGTTAAGCTGCTGCCTATGATGTCGGCATCACACATGAGTAACACTTCGAGTCCTAGTGATTCCACTTCTGATCCAGTTCCCTGCTTAGTGCTCCTGGGAAAGCAGTGGAAGATGGCCCAAATACTTGGGACACATGTGGAAGACTTGGATGGAGTTCTTGGCTCCTGTTCTGACCATTTGAGGAGTGAGCAGTGAGCAGACAGAAAATCTCTTTCTCTCTCTCTGTGTGTCTGTAGCTCTGCCTTTCAAATAAATAAATCTTTATAAAGATAAAACAAAACAAAACAGGAGCTGGTGTTATGATGTGAGTTAAGCTGCCTGTGACACTGGCATCCCATATGAGCACTGGCTTAAGTCCTGGCTGCTCCACTACCAATCCACCATCCTGCTAATGTGCCCGGGAAAGCAGCGGAATATGGCCCAAGTATGTGGACCCCTGCCATTCACATGGGTGATCTGGACAGAGTTCTGGACTCCTGGCTTCGGCCTGGCACGGCTGTGGCCATTTCAGCCATTTGGGAAATAAGACCAGCAGATGGAAGAACATTCTCTTCTTGTCTCCCTCTCTTTCTGTAATTCTGCGTTTCAAATAAATAAATCTCAACAACAACAAAAAATCAGGAAAGTCTGACATTAATTGACTCAAGAACTGTTCCACCCCCCCTAATAAATAAAACAAGAACCTATATATCCAGGAGTCCTGATGTCAAATACTAACAGTGTAGGAACCAACAAAAACCCTAAATTTCTGATTCCTAAACATAATTTTTAATAACCATAATTATTTATAACTCAAAATCAACACAGCAGAGGCTGGAGCTGTGGCATGGAGGGAAAAGCTCCTGTATGCGATGGCAGCATCACTGGTTCAAGTCTTAGCTGCTCTGCTTCCAATCTAGCCCCATGCTATTGTGCCTAGAAAAGCAGCAGGAGATGGCCCAAGTTCTTGGGCTCCTGCATACATATTGGTGACCCAGAGAAAGCGCCTAGCTTCAAATTGGCCTATGCTGGGCTGTGTGGCCCTTTGGGGAGTGAACCAGTGGATTCTCTCTCTCTGTAACTCTTTCAAGTAAATAAATAAATATTTAAAAAAATCGACATAGCAGATTTGTACTATTTTTGTAAGCTAACTTGCCATACCTCATTTATATATAAAAAAACTCTCTAGGTATAAAGAAGTTCTAATTTGAATATTATAAAAGGAAGAGTGACTCTGGATTACAAGAGAGATCTTGCTGTAAGATTTCTTGTTTACTGCTTCAACAATGTAAAAAGTAAAATCTTGTGTGATGAGCCCATGTATCATGCAAACAGAGCAAGTGACTGATCAATATTTTCATGTAACATTCTGCAAATCCTTTCAAGTATATTAAAGCTTTTGACTCCAAATGACGCATTCCAGGGATAGCAATGATCAAAATTCATTAGTCTTGAATTCCTATCATCACACATTGTGATCTTTTATATGCTCTCCCTTTCCCAAAGATAAACTACAAAAACTCACTAAAAGCCGCATGAAGACAGCAATCCCCAAACTGGTTGCCTGTGTGAAAAAGGGGAATAGCAATATCACTCAAGTTTGTGGCGCTGGCTCTGAGCCTTCCTTCCTCTCCAATCTAAGTTCTGCATGATATTACATGTGGACAACTCATAATTCCCTGGCTTTTCTCAGGCTAGTGACTGTTCTTTCAACTCCATGTCAGCCACCTACTGCCATGTCAGTGAAGAAATGACATCTGATATAATGCTCAATAAATGTTGAATGAATCAATGAGCGAATGTGAAACAACCTAAAATTATTAGTCAACAGATCTGAATAGATTTTTGAGTACTATGCTATCATAAGTAAGAATTAATTTGTGGACAGTGATGCTCAAATAGAAAAAGTAATAAGAAGATTCCATTTCCAACCGCTCCATACGTAAGGCAGTACTGGATATACTTACTGGTCTAGGTAGGGCCAGGTTTGCTCCATACCAATGATAAAGTGCTCTCCATACAGGTTCTGGGACCATTTCATAATCTCTTCCATGGATTAGCTGTGGAGTTCGTTTTAATCGTCCTCCTTCTAGTGTCAATGATGTAGCCTTAGAAAGAATGAAATGTAATGCTGATATTAAAAAATCCAATTATTTATTTTTTCAGGCAGAGAGGTAGAGACACACAGAGTGAGAGAGAAAAGAGAGTTTCCTAAATGCCCACAATGGCCAGGGCTGGGCCAAAGCTGAAGCCAGGCACTCAATCCAGGTCTCCCATGTGGATGGCAGGCACCCAGTTACTTGAATCAACATCACTGCCTCCTGGAAACTGCATTAGCAGGAAGCTGGAACCAAGAAGAGCTGGAGCCAGGTATCAAACTCAGGTACTCTGATATGGGATGCAGGTACCACTCCTAAATGTTGGTTTTTAACATTTTTTTTTAAAATTATTTGAAAGTCAGAGTTACAGAGAGAGGGGGAGGGACACAAAGAGATCTTCCACCCACTGGTTCACTCCCCAGATGGCTATAAAGGCCAAGGCTGGGCCAGGACAAAGCTGGGAGCCAGGAGCTTCATCTGGTCTGCCACGAGGGTAGCAGAGGCCCAAGTCTGGGCCATCCTCCTCTGCTTTTCCCAGCCATCAGCAGGGAGCTGGATTGGAAGTGGAGTAGCCAGGACATGAACTGATCTCCATATGGAATACCAGCATCGCAGGCAGCAGCTTCATGCAGTATTCCACAACACCAGACTCTGGTTTTTAATACTTTTAATTACAAAATCTCTTGTGTTTTAACAAAATGTACTCATAAAAGAACAAAGTCATATATTAGTATCTAGAGTCTCATGTTGTTGAAAAGACTCAATTTTCTAAAAGAATTTTTACTTGTGACTTTCAAACTGTTTTTGAAAACTCAAGGCAAATAAATCATTTGGAAAAATCACTGGAGTATTTGGAAACAATAGTATTAATTTTCCTATATTTCTTTCAAGCAATAAAAAATATGGAACATTTTCTTAGTAGTATCCCAAGTAAGAATAATATTTCCAAGGACCACTACATTACTTCACTGCAAGTATTAAGTCATAAAATATTCTCACTGAAATATACATGCAAAGAGATTCTCATCCCCAACAGGTTAATTTAAAAGAGCCACCAGCATTTTGCTAAGTGCTAAAACCTCTTGGATGAAATTCAACTGGTAACTTGGCAGGGAATGATTTTACAGCTAGAAGTCAAATTACCTACCTTTACTGGTTCTTGAGTTACTAGTGGCTGATTATCAATAGCCCCTGGTTTCTGAGGATTAAGATGCAACAAAATATTCCCATTGGCTCCTAGTAAACATTGGTTGTTATTGTCAGAAGTGTTGTGTTGTCGAGCAAAGCACATATCTGCCCCAGGTGTGGTAGAATACAGAAAGCCTATAAGGAAAAAGATGATAGAATCTCTTATTCTTAGTTATTATATATGTTTGAAGATGTGAACTCAATGTCCATGTTTTGGATTAATGCTACTATTCTGCTGACATGTCAGTATAGTGTTAGATTCTAATGACTCTGCAGAAGACAGGAAACATGGGTGTACTCTTTTCTGAACAATGTACAGCACAGCACTAAGAAGAATAAAAAGTTTTAAAATTGTTACTAAACAGACACTTGGCCACCTCATCAGAACATATAATAATTCATCATGGAGATTATATATCCTCTGACAGGAAGCCAAGAGATATGGATCCATAGTTGGACTTTTGCAAATGATTAATGACAACTTACAGTTTTAAACTTCAATCGTTATTTTTTGGCATTTCAACTTTCAACTGCATGTTAGGGTTAGGTAAACAATACAGTCATCAAATCACTTTGTGACCTACCTATGGGATGCTCAACCTGTGAGTATTATATAGTAAGCACACACCAAACAGAACCTTAGACAAGGTCAAGAAAAAAAAAATCTTGGTGTTAAAGTTAATCAAAGGGCTTCCAGGATGGCTAAATCTTAGTAATGTCAGATAGAGAAAGAGAAGCAGTAGGTTCTACAAAGATCTTTGTAGGGAAAATGCTATCTCTATCCAATTTGCTTCCTCCCTCCATAGAAAAGGATATTAAATCTCAAAGAGGAAATAACAATAGGGTAAAACTGAGGGTCCTGCTACTATTCCAGCAGCACAACAGAAACCAGCTCAACTCAGTAGGGTCACAGAAACCAAAGCGTCTCCTCCGTAAGTGTGGAAATACATGGTTTTAGGTAAATACCAAGAAATACAGAAAACTATTAGAGGCACTATGAATTTTTTGTGTTTTAACAAAATAACCCCCAAATTGTGCTTCCAAATAACCACACAATCTGATGTAAGAGTGCATTTAATCCAACAAAGAAATACTTACGAATAAAAAAAGTACTGGATATGGAAATTTTCATTTTCTTAAAAACTATCCTCCCAAATCTAATGTATAAATACAATCAATTTAATAGCATCATAGATAGATGAGATTGGATTAATGACACCAGTACAAATACTTTGACAATGAGATGTTAATGGAATATAATACAGAAATGAGATTTTCTTTGGAAAGTTAACAATGCATTCAAGAATCTTACAACTGACTGCTTCATTCAAAACTTATTTCTGTGAATGGAAGCTTGATGCCCAATATTCCATCCATAACACCCTCTGCTGAAATGGACTCCCTTAAGAACTACCCATAACCAAACCCCAAGGAAAGGAAGTCATGCTTACCACTGCCAGTGGATTCCGAGGCTTCAGATGCAGTAGAAATATTGTCTGAAAATTTTTCTTCTGTATTCCCATAACTGAGACTGCCTCCAATTCTATCTTCACCCTGTTCCACTGGATGTACTGCTGTTCCAAATGAATATTTTCCTCCATTCATAACAGTTGATGGCTCAATTACAACAGGGTTGGCATCCTAAAATTACAAAATCAGAATAAGTACAATTTAATAATCTGACAACTATGTAGCCTTCAAAAATAAATCCAACAATTATCTATTATTCCTAATCCTATGTTTGGCTATAGCCATTTAAAATATTTTTTAAAAATATTTATTTGAGAGACAGAGTTACAGACAAAGAGAGGGAAAAACACGGAAAAAGAGATCTTCCATTTGCTGGTTCCCAGATGCCCCCTGCGGGCAAGGCTGAGCTAGACTAAAGCCATGAGCCTGGAACTCCATTCAGGTCTCCCACATGGGTGGCAGGGGCCCAAATGCTTGGGGCATCTTATGCTGTCTTCCCAGGAGCAGGGAGCTGGATCGGAAGCAGAGCCATTGGGACCTCAAATGGTGCTCTGGGTACGGGATGCTGGCATTGCAGGCAGCTGCATAACCTGCTGTGCCACAGTGCTGGCTCCATCAAAAAAATCTTAATTTTGAAAGTTTAAGCTCTGTAAGGGGGAAAAGTGTGCCTATAAATAAAATGAGTAAGCTGGACTGGACAAGACTAGGAGGGACTGTGCACCACATAAATAATTTAGATATTATTATGCTGCATGTCTTTTTTGATAAAAAATAATACTTTATTACTACAGATTAAATGGTCGCTGTAGAAAACAGGAAAAACTGAAGAAAATAAATATGAACCAGACTCAATAATTTAGCAATAAATGTGGCTGACATTTTAAATTATTATTTGTTTATTTGAGAAGCACAGGGAGAGAGAGAAATAGAGCTCCTATCCACTGATTTCACTCCCCAAACATCACCAATGGCCTGGGCGAAGCTGAAGCCTAGAGCACAGAACTCGAGTCAGGTCTCCCATGTGGATCAGAAGAATCCAATTACTGGGGCCAACACCGATGCCTCCTGGGATCTGCATCAGGAAGAAGCTGGAGCTAGAGCTGGGCACTGAACCCAGGCATTTTGATACAGGTACACATACCTCAAACACCAGGCTAAATGCTGGGTCCACAGTTTATGTCTTATGATGGAAAAAACATATGTAAATGTAAAAGACAAATGGAATATCATATCCTATAGTCAATGTGAAGGGCACTTTTTTTTTTTTTAAAGATTTATTTATTTTTGTGAAAGGCAGAGGGCAGAGTTAGAGAGAGAGAGAACAAGATTCCTTCTCCTGGTTCACTCCCCAAATGGTTGCGATGGCCAGCTGGTGCCACAGCCAGCAGCTTCTTCCAAATCTCCCACATGGGTGCTGGGACTCAAGCACTTGGGCCACCTTCCACTGCTTTCCCAGACACACTAGAAGGGAGCTGGCATTACAGGCAGCAGTTTAACGCACTAGGCCACAATGCTGGCCCACAGGGCTCTCTTTTAATTAAAGGCAAGGGAATTTCCTCAAAGCTAACTTCTAAAGGATTCACGGACTCACAGCAGTAACTTGGTTTATGGATCAAAGGGGAGAAAACAGCTAATGAATTGCTGATCAATGTCTCCCTATGCTAAAATGAGGGATGCTACAATTGCTTTAAAAGAAAAAAAGCATCAATTATGCTACTGATGTGGTGTGACTTGGAATTTGTCTTTTAAATCTGGTATTTCCTTGAGTTTCAGTTACACTTGATAAGCAGTGCGCTCAAGACCCACATTCACTGACCAGTTTTATCTGCTATAATCTGTGCCAGAGTTCACTGAATGCCACTGAGTTCTTCACCCATAGTATTGCCTATTTCCTCAGATGCCTGTGGGATCTTGTTCCACTGGTTGATCTTGGGGAGGGGGGAGGGGGAGGGGGGAGGGAGAGGGAGGGAAGGAGGGAGAGGGAGAGAGAAGGGGGGAGGGGAGAGAAAGGTAGAGGGAGGGGAGAGGAAGAGGGAAAGGGGGGAGGGAGGGGGGAGGGGAGGGAAGAGGAGGGGGAGGGAGAGGGAGGGAGAGGGAGAGGGGGGAGGGAGAGGGAGAGAGGAGCTACCCTGATCTGAAGCCAGGAGCCAGGAGCTTCTTCCGGGTCTCCCATGTGGGTATAGGGGCCCAAGGACTTGGGCCATTTTCCACTGCTTTCCCAGGCACACTAGCAGGGAGCTGGATCAGAAGTGGAGCAGCCAGGATTCAAACTGGTGCTTATATGAGAGGCCAGCACTGAAGGCCATGGCTTAACCAATTGTGCTACAATGCTGGCCCCATTACTTCAATTTTCTACTTCATTAGTCTGAAAGGCTGGTTTTGGAAAAGCGGCAGGCTGCCTGGATTAATGGAAAAAAGACTAAGGCAAACATTAGGAGACTTGAGCTCTATAGTTCAAGATCAGGTAACAGAGTCATTAATAGAGATTTCAGCAATTAAAAAACTAAACGGAACCCAGAGTCTTCACTTGTAGAGTTACACAGAGGTACATTAAAGTCCTTCCTAGCTCTGATGTTACATGATCACTAAACAGTGAAATCTGTACATGAGTGGTAACAGCCATTCTCCCTTAACTCTGTAACAGGAAGAAAGACAAATATGTAAACTACAATGATGATAGAAAAGAGTTCACCATTCCTCTTCATTTAAATTGATAAGAGATTCTAAATAAAAGAAAAATGCTTAACTTATTAAAGAGGAAAAAGATTGGTAAGAATTCACAAACATGGACTATAAAATACCCCAAGAAAGGATGGCTTATTTTTCCTGTTCTCTTGGTGTCTGGTCTTTCCATTTTGGCATGCAACTCTCTGAAACATATGGTTTTCCCCACAATCAGTAATAACATAATAACCTAATTAGGGCATTTGTTCAAAACAAAACAAAACAAAAAACCAAAGCTAAGTGATGTCTTAGGCAGGAAGATGAAGCCCAGAGCAAAATCAAATATGTTGATATGTTATGATATGTTAAGAACACTATTTTTTTAAACAAGGCACTTGTCAAAGTTGTAATATATAGCAGAAAGAAAAATTTAAAACACAACTGCTGATATTGTTACAACAACCATCATTATTACCTCTAATCTTATATAGGATTTTTATTTGTCAGGCACTAGGCTAAGTGCTTCACATATATTAATGCATTTACTTCCCATTAACAGCCTTATTAAAATAGATATTAATTCCAGTATTCATATGTAGACACTGAATTACAGAAAGGACAACTAATTTGTTCAAGGTCATATAGAAAGTGGCAGGATCAGGACTCCAACATAAGTTCATGTTCACTATGATTATCTAATGTTGGTTTCTCATAGTAATAGTTACTGCTTATTTAATATGTATTCTGTGCAGATGTCGCATTGAATCACTTAACATGTATCAACTCATTTAATCCTCAGACCACCCTATGAGAGAGCTTACTATTATTACTCTCATTTTAAAGACCAGATTGTCAGGGCTGGTGCTGTGGTGTAGCAGGTAAAGCCGCTACCTGCAGTGCTGGCATCCTATATGGGCGCCAGTTCAAGTCCCAGCAGCTCCACTTCTAATCCAGCTCTCTGCTATGGCCTGGAAAAGCAGTAGAAGATGGCCGAAGTCCTTGGGCCCCTATACCTGTGTGGGAGACGCAGAAGAAGCTCCTGGCTTCGGATCGGCACAGCTCTGGCCATTGCAGCCATCTGGGGAGTGAACCAGCAGATGGAAGACCTCTCTCTCTCTGCCTTCCTCTCTGTGTAAGTCTGACTTTAAATAAATAAATAAATAAATCTTAAAAAAAAAAAAAAAAAGAAGCTGGGTGGCAATACTTACAGTTATCAATTAAAAAAATAAGACCAGATTTTCACTTTTAAAAAATATTATTTGTGGAGCAGACATTAAGATTCCAATTGGGATATCCATATTCCCATATCAGAGTGCCTGGGTTGGAGTCTGGCTCCAGCCCCATAGTTCCAGCTTCCCAGTTGTACAGATCTTGGGAGCAACAGGTGCAAAATAATTGGGTTGCTGTTACCCCTGTGGGAGACCTGGATTGAGCTCTTGGCTCCTGGCTTCAGACTGGCCCAGCCTTACCTGTTGCAGGCATTTGGAGTGAACCAGCAGATGCGAGCTCTTTCCCTCTCTTCTTTCTTCCCAACCTCCCTCCCTTTGTCTCTCTTATACTTTATTTAGTAAAGAATGCTTTCCTAATTATTTTTAAAATATTAATTTTATTTATTTGAAAGACAGAGTTATAGAGAGAGGTAGAGACAAAGAGAGAGGTCTTCCATCCGCTAGCCCACTTCCCAGATGGCTGCAACGGTCAGAGCTGCACCAATCCAAAACCAGGAGCCAGGAGCTTCCTCCAGGTCTTGCACATGGGTACAGGGGCCCAAGGACTTGGGCTATCTTATACTGCTTTCCCAGGCCACAGCAGAGAGCTGGATTGGAAGTGGAGCAGCCGGGACTGGAACCGGTGCCCAGATGGGATGCTGGCGCTTCAGGCCAGGGCTTTAACCCACTGTGCCACAGCGCCGGCCCTGAATGCTTTCCTAATTAATACACATCTTCAGAAAAGACTGCTGTTATTCTATTTACATTCCTACCCTACCCACCCGCCATTTTATTAAACAAGTTGCCACAGTTCTCTGCCACCTTCCCCTCCATAGGAACAGATGCTCTTCTGAGGTTTTGTAACAATTAACCTTTATATTAAAGTAGATTTTAGAGTCAGCATTTGTTAGACACACACACTGTATAAGAACATACAATGGGGAGAGGAACATGTAAATGCCTGCCTGTCTACATCTCCATTATTATTCTCCCTTTTTTTTTTTTAAAGATTTACTTATTTATTTGAAAGTCAGAGTTACACAGAGAGAGGCACAGAGAGAGAGAGAGAGAGAGAGACAGAGACAGACACAGACACAGAGACAGACACAGACAGAGACAGACACAGAGAGAGAAAGGTCTTTCATCCGATGGTTCACTTTCCAATTGGTCACAACGGCTGGAGCTGCACAGATCCAAAGCTGGGAGCTAGGAGCCAGGAGCTTCTTCCGGGTCTCCCACATGGGTGCAGGGGTCCAAGCACTTGGGCCATCCTCTACTGCTATCCCAGGCCACAGCAGGGAGCTGGATTAGAAGTGGAGCACCCAGATCTCAAACTGGTGCCTATATAGGATGCTGGCGCTTCAGGCCAGGGGGTTAACCCACTTGCCTAGTGCAGGCCCCTCCCCTAATTCTTTTAATGCAAAAAAGTATCACAGCAAGCAAGAATAACATAGGCATGGTCTTATATTGTCTGTTTACAAGGAATATGTTGTTAATTATAAGACTTAATCACACTCCTACATAAAACAAAAAGTAAAACATTTAACAAAACTACATTATGCTTTGAATCTGTTCTCAGTCATAGATTAATAACCACTCATTCTAAGGCCAAACTAAGAATTTAAAGAGCAAAAAGTCTTTCAAAATAAAGACTGATGTTTTTACCACCAATGTTCTCCTCTTCTACCTATACTCAGCATCATTATTTACCTACAGGTTCCTTGAAGTTGTTTATCTACTTTTATTCCTTCAGAAAAACTAAACTCCATGCTTCCCAATTACTGTATTTTTACAAGTGAAAACACACTATTAAACTCTGCAAAAGAGAAAAGTAACAAGGAAGCATGGTGATAAAGTAAAACATCTAATATCAACATTCTGATACGAAGTGATAGAAAAGAATACAGAAAAAAATATGAATCAAATTATTAGATTTTTGGCACTCAAAATTTGTTGGCAAATGACAACAAGCTCATCAACAAGTCAACTGTGCAGTGACTCTCAAGAAGGAAACACTCGATTCCTGGCATTACTTTCAGTTTTCTAATTCTGCAAAGAAAATTCCACATTTTAAATAAGACTCCATAATATTTAAGAAAGGGAATTTTTTCAATTCTTTCTTTGGAACAATGGCAAACTGTCTATTAGAAATTCTGAGTTCTCACATTAGTTCTAATACTAGTTTTCTTGTATAGGAGACTGACACTTCTTATGCAAGGGCCTCCAACTTTTTGATGGAAAAGGTAAACTGCTTTGAGAGAACACAGGCTTTAAAGCCAGTCCTTAGCTGTGACCCTAGATCTTCCACATGAAACGAAATATTCAGGATACTGTTTCTCTCAGTAACAGGTCCCTCACAGGAAAAACAGGTGTAATATCACCTTCCTCACAGGGATGCTGACAGAATTAAATGAGATGTGAGGGGTATGACATATACAGGCACCTCCATGCCCAATATGACCTTTGTCACAGTGCTGTTGCAAGGGAAGAATCTTACACGGAAGTGTAAGCACAGAGCCTAGTCCATGGCAAGTACAATATACAAATTCCCTTCCTTTCCCTTCAAATCTGTATCTATACTGCACTATTTTATTATTGGCTACTACTTGCACAAAGCCTGATGGGGATCAAAATCGTATGAAATAATAGATAAACAGGAATGGAACTCACGTATTTGACATATTCTTTCCACTGCTGCCACCACTGCATAGAGATGATAAACCAATTGTGTCCTGGCTGCAGACCGTACCTGCTCTCTCGTTCTAACCATCCTCTGTATACACACACACACAAAATAAATAAATAAAAATCCATGCATCAAATGATGTTGTACAAAACACATGACAACATCTACAAATAACATTAGAAGTTTTACAAAGGAATAAAACATGAAACATGTCGATATACTCAGGAGATTGCCATATTGATAAGCCAATTTCAAGATTACTATCAAGCATCTTACCGATGTCAACCGTCACCATAATCCAGTTTTAGATCATTTAGAATACATCAGTTACCGCAGAGAGATCTGCTGTACCCATTTTTAGTCCGTCCCTGTTACCACCCTCAACCTTCAGAAACAACTCATCTATTTCTTCTCACTGATTTGCGTTTTCTAAACTATTCAGATCCATGGAATGATATGAAGCATGGTGTTTTACATCGGCCTTTTTTATTTTGCATGTTTGTGGGGGACACTTATGTTGTAGCATCTATCAGTAGTTTGTGCTTTATCACTGGCCAATGTCCCACTCTACATATGTACCACATTTTGTTTGTCCAGACAACAGGCTAATGAACATTTACAACTGGTAAACTAATGCCTGAAGTGGCTGCACAATTTAAAATTCATATAGTGATGTATGAGTGCTTTTTACAACAGTCTTTTTATTTCTTTTTAAAAAGATTTTATTTATTTATTTGAGAGGTAGAGTAACAGACAGTGAGAGGAAAATACAGAAAGGTCTTCCATCTGCTGGTTCACTCCCTAAATGGCCACAACGGGTGGACCTGAGCTGATCCAAAGCCAGGAGCCGGGAGCTTCTTCCATGCAGGGACACAAGCACTTGGATCATCTACTGTTTTCCCAGGCTGTGGCAGAGAGCTGGATTGGAAGTGGAGCAGCCGGGACTAGAACCAGTGCTCATATGAGATGTTGGTGCTGCAGGCAGAGGATTAACCTACTGTGCCACAGTCCTGGTCCCTACAACACAATCTTGCCACAATTATACTGTCAGTCTGTCCTATTACCATTTTAGTAAGTGTGAAGTACTGTCCAACTGTGATTTTTTTTTTTTTTTTTTTGACAGGCAGAGTGGATAGTGTGAGAGAGAGAGAGACAGAGAGAAAGGCCTTCCTTTTGCCGTTGGATCACCCTCCAATAGCCGCTGCTGCCGGCATGCTGCAGCCGGCGCATCACGCTGATCCAAAGCCAGGAGCTAGGTGCTTCTCCTGGCGCTGATCCAAAGCCAGGAGCCGGGTGCTTCCTCCTGGTCTCCCATGCGGGTGCAGGGACCCAAGTACTTGGGCCATCCTCCACTGCGCTCCTGGGCCACAGTAGAGAGCTGGACTGGAAGAGGAGCAACTGGGACTAGTACCTGGTGCCCCAACTGGGACCAGAACCCAGGATGCCAGTGCCGCAGGCGGAGGATTAGCCTATTGAGCCACGGCACCGGCCCTCAAACATTTTCATACATCTCAATCAAAACCATCTATTAAATAATTATTCCAAATTACACATTTCCCCCAGCCCATGACTCCTACCTACCTTCATGGTATACCTATTCTGGACACTGCAAATAAATTTAATAATGTGAAGCTGCATTGTGGCATAGTGGATAGAGCTGCTGCCTGTGATGCTGGCATCCCACATGGGTTCTGGTTTGAGTCCTGGGTGTTCCACTTCTGATCTAGCTCCCTGTTAACGCACCCGGGTAAGCCGCAGAAGATGGCCCAAGTGCTTGGGCTTCTGTACCCACATGGAAAACCCAAAGGAGACTCCTGGATCCTGGTTTAAGCATGACTCAGTCCTGGGCCAATGTGGCTGGTTGGGGAGTAAACCAGTGGATGCAAGATCTCTCTGTCCCTCCCTTGCCTCTGCTGTAATTCTGCCTTTCAAATAAATAAAAAATCATAAAAAAGTTAAAATCATCAATAATCCCCCCCCCCAAAATGTAATAATGTACATGTGACATTTATTTATTTGTTATCTGAAAGGCAGAGTGACAGAGAGGGAGAGACAGAGGGTTTACTCCCCAAACAGCTGCCAACATTCAGGGCTAGGCCAGGCCAAAGCCAGGAGCCAGGGACTCCACTCTGCCACATGAGTGGAAGGGTCCCAAGCACTTGGGCTACCATCTGCTGCTTCCCAGGTACATAAGTAGGCAGCTAGATCAGAAGTGGAGTGGTCAGGACTCAAACCAGCACTCCAATATGGGATGTTGACATTCCATTTGGCAGTTTAAACTGCTACACCACAATGCTGGCCCCAACACAGAACCTTTTATATCTGGTTTCTTTTACTTAGCATGCTTGTGAGTTTTATCTAGGTTGTAGCATATATTGGTACTTTGTTCATTTTTTAAAAAATAATTGTTAGAAATAAAAATTTAGTATTTGCAGGGCCAGTAGTAGACAATATTTTAAAAGAGCTATTTATTTATTTAAGAGGCAGAGAGACACAGAGAAAGAGAGAGAGAGCACGAGCTCCTATCCACTAACTTACTCCTCAGATGCTTCCAATGGCTAAGGGGCTACAGACAGAAGCCAGGGATTCAATCTAGGTCTCTCGAATAGATGGCAGGAACCCAATTACTTGAGCTGTCACTGCTGCCTCTCAGAGTTCATATCAGGAGAAAGCTGGAATTGGCAGCCAGCATCAGAAGTCAAATCCAGGCTTCCTATGTGGGATGTGGACCATATCCTAATTAGCATTTTAACCACTAATCAAATGGCTGTTCCTTCATTCCTTCCTCTGGATAAATATTCCATGGCCTGTGTGCACCATGGCTTATTTATTCATTCACCCACTGATGATCATGCAGACTGTTTCCAATTTTGGCTATTGTGAATAAGTGGTGCTATGAACACTGCATACAAGTATTTACCTGTTTTGAAATCTTTCGGTTATGTACCTAGAAGTGGAATTGATGGTTGATGTGGTAATTCTTCTTCTTTTTTTTTTTTTTTAATATTTTTACTTTTTATCAGAAAGGCAGAGGCAGAGGCAGAGGCAGAGGCAGAGAGAGAGAGAGAGAGAGAGAGAGAGAGAGAGGTCTTCATCTGCTGGTTCACTCCCCAAATGGCCAAAATGGCAGGAGCTGGGCCTTTATCTGAAGCCAGGAGCCAGTAGCTTCTTCTGGATCTCCCATTAGGGTGCAGGGGCCCAAGGACTTGGACCATCATCCACTCCTCTCCCAGGCCAGAGCAGAGAGCTGGATTGGAAGTCAAACAGCTAGGACTCGAACCAGCACCCATATGGGATGCTGGCACTGAAGGTGGCAGCTTTATCTGCTAGACCACAGTGCTGGCTCGATGTGGAAATTCTGTGTTGAGTAACTATCAAACTCTTTCCTGGAGTGTCTGCACCATTTGACATTTCTATTAGCAACACAGGAGAGATAAGGTTAACTCTGGAAAACAGACTCCCCTCTTCAGGCACATGAGTGTCTTTCCTAATTCATTTCTTTGTAAAGTATAATATTCTCTCTTATATGTGGTTTGTTAAGTCTCTTTCATTTAATTTGTTCAGCTAGTATTTTGACAGAGATTTTCAAGAAGGGTAAAACTGCACAGGTGATAGAAATCAAGACTGTCTGCAGAATGGCTCTGTGCTGGGGCATCCCTTCAATGCTTGTCCAGGCTGCCTCAACCTCTCCTTTCTGCATGTCCTTAGTCTAGCCATTAGCCAGAAGTAAAAGCTTTAGGGTCTTGTCAGGTCTTTTCTGAGTGTGTATCTTGCTCTAGGCATGTGCAAGACACTAAATCTCTTAGTATACAAGTGTGCTTCCGAGTGCTAATTTCCCAAGGAAATCTCTTAGCTTTCCCTCCCAGACTTCCAGAACTCTTTTTATGCCTCTATACATTATCTTTTGTACTAAGAAGCTACAGGTTGTTCATTTGCCTTATAGTATTTTTGAGGAATGTATCTGCTTTTCTAGCCTGAGTTAAGTATAGCAGAGACAATCACTTTGTGACAGATCTTAGGACAGCCCCAGACTGGTTAGCACACAAACTCTTTATGAACATGTGGAAACAAGGGACCAGGGCTCAGACTGGCGATCTGGGCTCCATCTTCCAGACTACCACTGAGCTAGGCAAGAACAACTATAAATGTCACACTGAGCTTAATTTTTTTTTAAATTAGCATTTGCTTGGTTGCTGTAAAGCTTTCTCTTCAAGAGTTCCAACAAAAATGTGCTGTGCTTCTCAGTTTCATTTGAGATGTGCTCTTATAGTTACCTACTACACAATTTTCACTGAGTCATTTCTCTGTGCTTTTAATTTGCCTTCCCTGGAGATGCAGCTGGGCCTTTTTTTTTTTTTTTTTTTTTTTTTTGACAGGCAGAGTGGACAGTGAGAGAGAGACAGAGAGAAAGGTCTTCCTTTGCCGTTGGTTCACTCTCCAATGGCCGCTGCCACACTGATATGAAGCTAGGAGCCAGGTGCTTCTCCTGGTCTCCCATGCGGGTGCAGGGCCCAAGCACTTGGGCTATCCTCCACTGCCTTCCCAGGTCACAGCAGAGAGCTGGCCTGGAAGAGGGGCAACCAGGACAGAATCCAACGCCAACCGGGACTAGAACCTGGTGTGCCGGCGCCGCAAGGCGGAGGATTAGCCTATTGAGCCGCGGTGCCGGCCGCTGGGCCTCTTTTCACACTCTTATTACTCATTCAGATATGCTGAATGAGATGTCTATTCAGTTGTTTTGCTTATTTTAAGTTAGATTTTTAGTTTCTAAGTATGTTAAGCTTTTTTATAAATTCCTTGAAATAAGTCCTTTAATACATGATTTGCAAATATTTTCTTTTTCTTTTTTTTTTTTTGACAGGCAGAGTTAGACAGTAAGAGATAGAAAGGTCTTCCTTTTTCCGTTGGTTCACCCCCCAAATGGCCGCCACGGCCGCGTGCTGTGGCTGGTGCGCTGCGCCGATCTGAAGGCAGGAGCCAGGTGCTTCCTCCTGGTCTCCCATTGGGTGCAGGGCCCAAGCACTTGGGCCATCATCCACTGCGCTCCCAGGCCACAGCAGAGAGCTGGACTGGAAGAGGAGCAACCG